TTAATGTTTCATTTTGATCTCAACAGCATGAGTGTTTTTTTTAATACCCTGCTATCTATATATGGAATTGAGAAAGGGTGAAAAGGACGAGAATGGGAAAATGCAAGGCAGTTCTTTATGCAGGGCTCATGCTAGTGGGATTGTACAATGTAGCCACTTTGGAAAACAATTTAATAGTTCCTTAAAAAAATTAAACATAAAATTACCATATGAGCCAGCAAGGGGTATGGGGGTTCTTCTTTGGGTGAATTAAAGTATTCTAAAATTAGTGGTGATAAATGTACAACTCTGTGAATATACTAAAACCACTGAATTGTATACTTTAAAAGGGTGAACTTTATGGTATGTAAATTATATCTCAATTAAGCTGTTTATTTAAAAAAAAAAGAATGGGCAGAGGATCTGAACAGACATTTTTCCAAAGAAGACATGCAGATGGCTAACAGATACACAAAAAGGTACTCAACATCACTAATCATCAGAAAAAAGCAAATCAAAACTACAATGAGATATCATCTCATAGCTGTTAGAATGGCTGTTACCAAAAAGACAAGAAATACGAAGTGTTAGTGAAAATGTGGGGAAAAGGGAAACCTTATGCCAGCTGGGAATGTAAATTGGTGTTGAAAATGAAACTACAATATGATCCAACCATTCCATTTATAGGTATTTATCTGAAGAAAATAAAAATATTAACTCGAAAAGATATGTGTCCAGTGTCCATTGTAGCTTTACAGTAGTCAAGACATAGAAACAAGCTGTGATCATCAATGGCTGAATGGATAAAGAATATGTGATATATATATATATATATATATATATATATATATATATATGTATGTATATATACACAGTAGAATATTATTCAGCCATTAAAAGAAGGAAATCTTGCCACGTATGTGAGAACATTGATGGACACTGAGAGTATTATGCTAAGTGAAATAAGTCAGAGAAAGACAAAAGACAAAGGTCTCACTTATATGTGGAATCTAAAAATAAACAAAAGCTAAATTCATACATACAGAGAACAGACTGGTTGCTTCTGCCAGAGGTGGGAATGAGGATGGATGAATGGGTAAAGGGGTCAAACGATACAAAACAACCCTCCAGTTATAAAATAAATAAATCCTGTGGATGTAATATACAGCTTACTGGCTACAGTTAATTATACTGTATTGTATATTTTAAAATTGTTAAGAGAGTAGATTTTATTTATTTTTTATTTTTTATTTTTTGGAGGAGGAATTGCAGACTGAATCCTGGGGCCCTCGATGGGTTAAGTTACCTTGCTTATGAGTGAGTTACAGCACTGGTCCGTCTGGTCAAGGCTATGGTTTTTCCAGTGGTCATGTATGGATGTGAGAGTTGGACTGTGAAGAAAGCTGAGTGCCGAAGAATTGATGCTTTTGAACTGTGGTGTTGGAGAAGACTCTTGAGAGTCCCTTGGACTGCAAGGAGATCCAACCAGTCCATCCTAAAGGAGATCAGTCCTGGGTGTTCATTGGAAGGACTGATGCTGAAGCTGAAACTCCAGTACTTTGGCCACCTCATGTGAAGAGTTGACTCATTGGAAAAGACCCTGATGCTGGGAGGGACTGGGGGCAGGAGGAGAAGGGGACGACAGAGGATGAGATGGCTGGATGGCATCACCGACTCGATGGGCATGAGTTTGAATAAACTCTGGGAGTTGGTGATGGACAGGGAGGCCTGGAGTGCTGTGATTCATGGGGTTACAAAGAGTCGGACACGACTGAGCGACTGAACTGAACTGAACTGAACTGACAGATGTGAATAGATTATGGATGTGGATGTGGCGGATAGATATGGGGGGGGATGCAAAATATGGAATGCTTCACGAATTTGTGTGTCACCCTTGCACAGGGGCCATGCCAATCTTCTCTGTATTATTCCAATTTTAGTATATGTGCTGTCGAAGTGAGCATGAGAGTAGATTTTAAAAGGGTTCTCATCACAGGAAAAAAAAATTATAACTATGGTGATGGATGTTAATGAGATTTAATGTGGTAATCATTTCAAAATATATAAAAATATGGAATCATTATATTGTACACCTGAAACTGATTTAATGTTATATGTTAATTATATCTCAATAAAAGAAGAAGATGCAAAAGATGTGGGCTTAATCTCTCAGTTGGGAAGATCCCCTGGAGGAGGGCAACCCACTCATATTCTTGCCTGGAGCATCCCCATGGACAGAGGAGACTGATGGATTACAATCCATGGGGTCACACAACTGAGTGACTAAGCACAAAGCACAAAAAAGAAGAAAATTCAAAGTGATTAAATATTTTCCTTCCAAGAAAAAACATTCTCCAAGTAATGGAAAAATCAGTGATTTGTTGCTTGCCAGGTCTTCGTTCCTCAAACGCTGTCTCACCAGTGGTTAACTGCCACAGCAGTATGGGACAGCTGTTTGGGACATTCTTTTCCTCTAGAATAATCTGAGGTGGTAAAATTAATCTATCTCTAAGTGGGATCTTTTTTCCTACTAGAAGCACAAATGACATTCAAATCGGTTTCATACCCATAGCTTTGTCTCGCCATTTCTACGACATCAGAAAGGACATGTTCACTTATGCAGTTTATCTGTGCATTTCTTAGGTCACTTTTCTATAAGTCAGGCTTTTAAGGTATAATTTATGTTTAGTCAAATTCAACCTTGGAAGGTTTCCAATTCAATGAATTTTGGGGAACGTGTACAGTCATGCAATCACCATCACACTTGAGAGATAGGCTATTTCCAGCAGCCTAAAATGTTCCCTCATGTCCCTTTGTAGCCAACCCCTTTCTCCATGTCCAGGCCTTGGCATACCCCTTCCCACAACTTTATTGATTTCTGTCCTGAGGGCACTCTTCAATCCCTATTTTGTGCTATCATTTTATCTGCAGGTAAGCCTCTCTGCCAGATAGGATTCTGCTTTGTGTCCCTGTAACACCAAATGTGGTGCCTGGCACCTAACATGCATGCAGGAAATAGGTGCTTAATGAATAAATGAATCACTTGCTTTTTATATTTTGCCAAATCATTGCGGAGACTCTGCTCTCTGACTTACAGTATGTGTCTTTTGAAAAAGGACTATTAATGCTGGGGAAGGTTTTCTACCAGGACTTAAATTTTTTTAAAAATGTTTTGATTGGAGGTAAATTGCTATACAGTGTTGTTTTGGTTTCTGTTGTACAAACAGGCAAATCAGCCATAATTTTACTATAATATATATATATATATATCTCCTCCCTTTTGAGTCTTCCTCCCCTCCCCCCATCCCACCTCTCTAGGTCATCACAGAGTACCAGGCTGTGTTCTCTTAGGGTTTTAATTTATACAGTCTTAAAAAAAAAATGCCCCCCCCCCAAAAAAAAAAAGTAAAAAAAATGGGCCATAGTGATTTCTAACTTCAGAGATTTTGCTGAGCATTTCAAACATTTCCATAGACTTGGGGCTTACAACTTTACTCAATCAGCACATAGGCCTCTGAGCTTTCAACCTGAATAAACAGATGGACATAGAATCTGGGACCAACAGCATCTGCTCTCTCTCCCTCCCCTTCTGACCCCCATCTCTGATCCTTCCACCTCCACAGGGCATGCCCCAGGGGATCCTCTGGAGCTCCCCAGAATAAGACCTCGGAGATTCCGGACCCACTGATGAATGACTCCAGGGATGGAATCTGATGCTGGCATAACCTTTCTCACCACGCAGGGTGTGACCCACCTGCAGCTGGCTCATCAATCAGGCTTAGATTCCTTTAGTCCTTCCTGATCTGATTCAGCTTCTATCTTGATGTGCAGCCAAAAGTTGACATTCCTAGAGCAATTCCAAGAAGCAGTGAAGAAAGCTCCCCCTCCTCTGACCACTTATCTGAAATTGCCCAGCCCAGCAAGGGAACTGCCTTTTGGTGCTTTCCTCCAGACTGGCCAGTTGCACTTTCTGTGGGTGAGCAGTCCCCCTTGTGCCTTCCGCTCAACTGGCAAAGCCTCCAAAGCTCAGACACACTAGAGACCACATTTTCCCTCTGAGGAGGCTGCCCCTTGCCTCCCAGATGTAGTCTTGGTGCTGACATCAAATTGCTTTCAAATGGAACCTCATTCCCTTTTAACCCCTTATCCTCACACTTTGCCAGGTGGCTTCCCTGGAACAGCTCCAGCGGAGGGCAGTTTCTGCTCCCAGGAGACAGTGCGCTATGCAAGCATAAGCGCATCCTCACCAAATCTTTCAAAGCCTCAACTTCTGATGCAAGAGGGATGAGTGGCGGGGCGGTTTCTGCTACCTGCTGCTAGGTAAACAAAACACCAAGAAGGTGGTGAATTTGGACACATGGAGGAATTGTGTAGTTCATAACCCTGCAGACAGATAAACTGGTAGTCAATGGAAGGGAGCCAAAGAAATTCTTATTATAGTAATGATGACAGGGTGTGTGTGTGTGTGTGTGTGTGTGTGTGTGTGTGAGAGAGAGAGAGAGAGAGAGAGAGAGAGAGAGAGAGAGAGAAAGGAGGGAGAGAGAGGGAGGAGACGGGGGTTGGGAAGGGAAGATTCCGGAAAAGGGGGGAAAACAAAAGGGAGAAAGAAAAAATGGGGGTCAAAGTGGAGGAAAGCGTATATTCTTCAGGAGGGCCTTCTAAAGCTGTGACTCTCAGACTTTTATTACTGTCAGAGTAAGAAATGTATTTCACTCCACGCAGGGCGCGCACACAGAGACGTATAGGATAAAATAGAAATGAATTCGCGCGTGGCCTGCTGGAAGAGTAGGTCACTTGTTCCTATCACAAATCACTGCGTGCGGCCGAGGGTGCGCGAAGGCAGCCCGGCTCGGCCGCGCCCCGCCCCGCGCTGAGTAGGACGCCCCGCCGCGCCCGCCGCAGGGCCCCCGGGTAGTCGCCGCCCTCGCGGGGGAGGAGGGAAGCCGGGGCACGGCTCCCGGCTCCCGGCTCCCGGTTGCCTGCGACAGCTCCTGTGGTGGCGGATCGGGACGCGACGCGGGATGGAGCCGGACGAGCGGGACTCCGTGGCCGCGTGGTGGCACATGGTCGTGCGGAACCTGCGGTGAGTGCGCGCGGCGCGCCGTACGCCCCGCTGCCCGGGCCGCGGCAGGGAAGGTACCACCCGGCGCGGACCGAGGGGCTGCAGGCCCCCAGGGCGCTTGGACGGCTGTTTCCTCAGCCCCTACCCGCGCCAGTGAGACTCTAGCCTACGATTTTTCAGGAACGTGTATCCCTTTGGTGCTTCCGAAATGGAGTTTCAGAGAGCTGGTTCAGGCTTCTGTATCAATCTCTTAACTGCCTTGACATTTTACTCACAGCGGGATAATATTAGTGACAGTAATAATCTGTGTTGTTGTCTTGGATGGCATTCTGTTAGATCAAGGGCCTATCTGGATAGATGGGAAAGGTCAGAAAATCACCTCCCTGAGTGTGAACTCTGCTCTGGAGTAAAGGAAGACCTCTCCACAATGCTAGAGATGCACAGTACTTCGAAACCATAACTTGGTATTGCCCATGCCAAGTTCTTACATCCTTTAAATCTGAAATGTCTAGGTCAGCAGGTTTTAAATTTTCTTGCTTCCGTGAATCCTTGGCTTGAGCAGTAATCTTAAGACTACCTGAATCGACCAGCAAGCAATATCCTGTCACAAGTCTTGTTGCACTGAATCCAGGTATTGGTTGGAGAACCCAGACCCAAGAGACTGGGTATCTTATTTTGTTTTGTTGGTGTGGGAAGGTGTTGGCAGTTTCATTTACTTTTCTTCTTTGTATTCCTTTGTTTTTTTTGCCTAACTTTTGCTGACTACAAAATATCCAAGAATCACATCCAGGCATAGGAGACCTCAATTTGGAACATCTGAGTGGCTAAGACAACCCTGATTCCCTGTCTTCTCTTCCTGCTGTGGCTGAGGGCAGGGGGCAGAGTGCAGCTTTCCCTGGCTCCCCAGTGCAGGCTGGAGCCCCCTTTTGTATTAGATCCGGACACCAGGCCCAATGTCCTGACTGGCTGCATTTTTCAAACTTCACAATCCCTGAAACAGCTGTTTTGGGAAAGCTGGCATTTACCACTTTTTACTTTTGAGTTCTTTATAGAGTGGGTGACTGGTTATTTAACACTTATTTGACAGAGAATTGAAGCTGCTTTGCGTTTTTAGAGAACAGCCCACTTTGTTGATAGAGGAGTGGAGATGGGGAGGTGGGATCTTCTGTTACTTCTATATGTGTGCATGCTCAGTGGCTCAGTCATGTCTGACTCTTTGGACCCTGTGGGCTTTAGTATGCCAGGCTCCTCTGTCCATGTGATTTTCCAGGCAAGAATATTGGAGCGGTTGCCATTTCCTCCTCTAGGGAATCTTCCCAACCCAGGGATCAAACTCTTGTTTCTCCTGCATTCTTTATCACTGTACCACTTGGGAAGTCCCTATTACTTCTAAATACTAATTACTAAAAATAAGTCTTGAGATGTTTTCTGAAAGAATAAAATAACTTGAGCATTTCTTCATCCGAGCCAAAAACTACTGATCTAATTTAGGTCAGACTGAGGCACAGACTGAAATCCAGCATCTTAAATCCTTTTTGTTTCATGGAGCCTGGTTAGATCAGCAAACATTCCTGGAGGGTTCTCTGTGTGCCTGGGATGGCCTGTAGCTCTGGATCTATTGTGATGTGTCATGAGATTCAAGGAGAACATTTAACCATGATATTTACAGTGATTATTTTTTAATGCCTTGGGGATGGATTTATCTTAGAAAAGTCTCATCAGATGTAGTCACTTCTTAACATGGATGGGCCCAGCAGAGTAAATCTCTTGCTGCTGATTTTCTTTGAATTAGAAAAATGGAAACCATGCTCAGGAAAGAAGTTGGGGGAACTCAAAGGGCTATTTTCCCTTTTTTTCTCCCTATTTCACTTCAAGCCTTTACATTTTTAGATGGTACTTAGAAAATCCCCATGAGAAGGCTGACAAACTTTTCCATCCTCCCCAGTGTATTGGTCATCTACTCGCTATCAGGTACTTGTCTGGGCTCTGGGCACACAGCCATAAATAAAACAGGCAAACCCCCTGCTCTTGGGGAGCTCACATTCCTACTCAAAAGAGAAGGAAGCCCTTACCTGTCCCCCAAAGCTACCAATAAGCCTTGCCTCCTTCTCCCTTACAAAAGAAATACACTCTTTTCTGTTCTCAACCTGTCATTCAATGGATATTTATGGCACTCAGCCCAAGGCTGCCCTGGTGGTTCAGTGGTAAAGAATCTGCCTGGAATGCAGGAGGCACAGTTTCGATCCTTGGGTTGGGAAGATCCCCTGAAGAAGGAAATGGCAGCCCACTCCAGTATTCTTGCCTGGAAAATCCCATGGACAGAGGAGCCTGGTGGACTACAGTCCACGTGGTCACAAAAGAGTCAGACATGACTGAAAAACTAAACAACAAAGAGCAACAACCCTGTGCCAGGCAGAGTGGAAAGTAAAAGCAGCATTAGCTGGGACGTGGTTCTTGTCACTGGGGATACAGGGCTAATAGTGAGAAAAAAAATCAGCAAAGAATTAAGGGTCAAACTCTGGCCCTGACTATAATTAGTGGGAGGGGTGAAAAGAGAGGATAAGTCACCATGGAAAGATCTGTCTAGAGAAGACTTGAAAAAGAAGGGACACTTGAGTGGATGTGAAGGAAAGAGGGGATCTGGTTGGGAGGAAAGGAGGGAGGAGAAAGAGGTAACTTGGTGCTTGGTGATCAGCATGTGTTGGTAGGATGAATGGGCACAGGATGCCTGTGCAGCATGTCTTAACATTTGAAATTGTTGTCTTGCCAACTGTGGTCAGAGTTGGGCTTCCCAAAGCTGGTACTTCTGAGCATTAAGCAAGAATGATTGGCCCTGTAGCAGCTCAGGTTCCAGCGCCAATGAGAATCATCCAGTTAGGTTCTGTGGCCCCTGTGGGAGGCTGTGCAGTTACAGCCACAGCTGATCAAAGGGTAGGCAAAAGAACAGCAAAGCATCGAGGTGGCTGTTTGATGTGCTGGCCGTGAGCAAGGATTGGACTGAAACCGCATCCTCTGCTCAAATAAGGTCTATTAGCCGCTGGTGACTTTTGATCCCCTATTGATCTAGGGGAAGTCAAACTGACAGCCCCATAGTTAAAAGGAGCGGCTGTGCATTATTGATGCTCGGAGGGATCTGGTCACTGTGTTCTCTTCCCGCAGCGCTTCTCACAGAAGTGCCTTGAGCTATTTGAGAGAAGGGTCCTGTATGAATTATTCTTTAAAAACAGAAGCATATTTCCCTCTATTGCCTCTGCTTCCCAAGCACCCTGCTACCTTCAAAAGGCAACTTAGTGGGAGACTAACATGCAGGGTAGCGGGAGTTCAGAGTCAGGAGAAAGAAAACTGGATCCAGCCAACTGGAAGGAAGCATAAGAATTCAGTTCTGCCTGTCTGTCTGGGCTTGATCTGTGGCTCAAAGTGGCTTCTTTGGGTTTTAGTATCTTATCTCTAAAATTGGAATAACAACGTCCTCTCCTTCCAACCACCTTCACAGAGGCTATTTTAAAGTATGAAACAATCATTTTCATTTCTTTTTTGCTGATTTTATGGGTATGCAGTTGCCTATGGCTGATGTATTTGAAGAGCTGTCCATCACCCTTAGCCTGCTTATCTTTTCTGCTCCCCACAGAATTGCTGGAAATTCATTAGAGATTCATTATCTTCTGCCTCCATGCCTTTTCCAAATATGTATAAATGCCCTGATTTTTAAGTTATTACACTAGAGGGAGAATTTTTTTAGAGGTCTTTCTTTGATGCTTTTGGTATCTTCTGAGAATATGGGAACAGGATGGAAGAAGAGAGTGGGAGGAAGGAGGGACCCTGAGAGGGGTAAGGATGCAGAAGAGAACAGGATCCTGATATAACTTTCTGTAAGAACTGGACTTGGCTAGAGCCCAGCCCCTTCTTGGGGTTCATTTTTGCTTCAAGGATGACAAGGAGAACTCACCAGGACTGTGACAGCTCACTGGAGATCATCATGCAACTCTGGATTCACGCGGCTCTGCCATTCATTGGCTCTGTGACCTTGGGAAGGGTACTTAACTTTTCAGTCTCTTCATTTGCAAAGTACAGGTATTAACCTGTACATGTAACGTCTTCTAAGATGCCTCTGGTCTAGTAGAGAAATCAGGACATGGAAACAGAGCATCACACATGCTTTCCAGCCCCCACAACCTCATAATTTGATTACATCGATGGTCTTCCCATTGACCTTTCACAATAGGAAAAGGGATTCATTTGAGGAATGATGTGAACAAAAACTGGAGTGGGAGGTGGTGACAATGACTTCCTGTATCCCTTATTTCTAAAAGGTTCAGGCAGGAGACGCTCAACTCTCATGGGAGATGTGACTAGAGACAGGTGGCCTGAGTGGGCCCTCATGGAAAAATCTTAAGTTGTCTGCTAGTGGCTCCCAGTTTGGATGGTTCATGCCAATGGGACAGTAGAATAAACAAGATGTGTGTGGCTCCCCCTGCACCACCCACCCCGTGTCCCATCACCTGACTAGGTCCTGCCCTGCACCCCACCCTGCTCTTCACGATCCCACTCACCTCAGAAGTGGGTTTTTTTCTCGCATTGGCTCATTTTTTCCCAAGAGTCAGCCAGAAGGAGGGGGGAATCTGACGATTATTCATTCTCAGCTTTAGGCTAATACTAATAATAGCTAGCACATACAGCACTGAATTGTGATTAAAAACTGCGGCAGCTGTTGAACAGTCTGAACCCTGTTTCCTGCTGACTTTGGGGTCCAGCCTTGGCTTTCTGTGTGGTACACTGAGAAAGCAAGTCTGACTTGGGTGCATCCGTGTCCCTGCCTCTCCTATCCCGTCATACTGGGGCTTTCTGAGCAGCTGACTGGGGGCTTGATTGTCCTTTCCTCTCCTGGGTCTCCCATAGTGCCTTGCCTGGATTTGCCCTAATTACACACAGTTCTGTAAAGGATTTTTCTTAAATGCCAGCTTGCCTGTAATTCCCAGTATCAGTCTGTGGAATTTGATTCGGACGTTAAAAGGAAAAACAAACCAAGACAAAACTTGGACTGATTTTGAGTACCTTATTTGTTTCACAATATCTTACAGATCTTTCCCACACTCCTGTTCCACACTCGGAAGGAAAATTGCCACTCTGTGTGACAGCTTTACAAGTAAATCATTAAAAGAACACATTTGCCCTCCTCTGATGCACATGCTGATTTTTGTAAACTTTTGTAAGTATGTACCTTTTGTGAATCTGCCTTTATATATATTTTTTCCCAATTAAAGAACTCACTGCCCTTACAGTTATGACATAGTGAGAAAGATATGTCAGCATCTTTGTGGCGAGACTTAAATTGTCTGAAACCTAATTATATTGCCTTTGGGGTCTAGGATGAATCCTGGTGAGCTGTTGGGGTAGATAGCAAACCATGGCCTTGTGGGTGGGATTTCAATCCTGGAGCTCAGCCTTCAAATTAGCTGTGAATCTGGATACCTTAGTGCTTTCTGTATTCTGTTCCTTTTCTCTTCCTCTTTTTGCTTGTATCCCTAGAGAGAGACAGGTTGATGTGAGAAATCTATTTTCCTGTGTTGTTTCTACTGAATGCTGTGTTAGTGTGGGACACAGTTCTTCTAGTCACAGATAGCACTGTCACCTGCATGTCTCTTGTGTTACGTTGACCTTGGGCATTTCATGGTTTATGGCTAGTGACTATGTTTTACTTAGTGCAAAAGTAATGCATGACGTAAGTAACGGAACACTCATTACTAGGACTTCCCTGGTGGACTAGTGGCTAAGACTCCATGCTCCCAATGCAGGGGGCCCGGGTTCGATCCCTGATCAGGGAACTAGATCCCGCGTGCCACAACTAAGAGTTCAAATGCTGCAACTACAGATCCCACATGCTGCAAGGAAGAGTGAAGATCCTGAGAGCCACAACTAAGACCCGGTGCAGCCAAAGAAAAAACATCCGACCAAATAAAACAAACATCTCAGCCCCAAAACTCATTACCTTCTTCTATACCCTCTTATTTTTTAGGTGAATGGTCTCCTTTGCTTTTCACTTGAAACAGGGATAAAATGGAATAAACTCTATTAGGGGCTACCACACTGGTGCTATTTTTAAGTCTAGCTTTAGAGTATTTGTGGGGGTCAGTTCTTCTGTGGGCTAGTCCTCGTTTATAAAATAAAATACTTTGCTCGGAATTGAGTGTAGTGCTTATAACTTAGAAACATGTCAAACATTAGGCTGATTACTTTTTTTGGATTGTGATTAAAAGACATAGACTTTGATTCTGGGAGTTGGTAATGAATTCTACTTTCTAGTCAAAGCACCATTTCTTGTGGATTTAAAGAAACCAGAGTTGAAGATTCCTCACACGGTGAACTTCTACATCAAAGTTGAACCTGGGGTAATTCTGGGAATCTGGTGAGTGCGCTGGTCGGACACTGGGGTGCTTAGTGGGTGGGGCTCTCATGTTACAGGGCACAGCTGAGTAGTGCGGTGTTACTTGCCTGTGGAGAGGTCGGTGTTCCTTGGAGGAAGCTGTTCCACACACCTTCCCTTTGTATTGACATTTGACCTTCTTGAATTTGCTTTTCGAGAATCTCACTTTTCAGGTGACTTGGGTCATTTTCTTCCTTGCCTTATTCCTTGTGTGATTATCTGATTAATGTGTGTCTTCTTTACGAGACAATAACTTGGCAAAGGCATGGTGCTTGGCAAAGGCACCCCATAAATATTTGCCCAACAAGGTCATGAACATCCTACTGTCTGTCTTGCTGTGCTAATCTCAACATTTTCTTCTGTTTGGTTCTACCTGCTTGTTCTTGGCTGCCAATTTTCCATTGCCTTCTTGTATATTTCACCTCCTTGAGTTTGAACATGTGATCATGGAATATTTAGGAACCAAAATGGGTTCACATAACTTTTTTCTAATCTGTAGGATGCAGTTCCACTGACAGTGCTTGAATTTGAAAATATTTTTATTCTTTGTTTTTGCCCCATCCGCCCTTGGCTGAGTGAGTCAACGTCCTCATGACCACTTATCTAGCTGGCAGTGATGCCTGTCTTTTTGGTACGGAGGCCTTGGGGGTTTGATATCAGACTTTTTGCCTCTAAGTAATTGGAGGATTGAAGATTCATCATCATGTGGCCAGTGTCATATGGTAGTATTTTTGTTATCAGAGTTCATTCATTGATTTAACAAGTTGCGGGGGGGGGGGGGGAGGCGGAGGGGAACTAGAGGTCACTCAGGTGTTTAAAATCACAAGGTCACTCGGTTTCTTGAGAAGAATAGCTTAATTTCATATAAGTTCTTTTCTCCTACCCAAACTGATTTCCCTTTAACTTTTTTCCAGCTTGTTTCTTCAGCCAAACCAATAGCAGGTGGCAAATATCTATTATCTTTTACTGGTTTCCACCCAATAGATTGCATTTCAATAAGCCACACCTAAGAATTGCAGTTTTGGAAGCATAATTGGTGTAGGAATCAGAACTAAAATGTAAATGGTTAAAAGGGGTTATCCCTGGGCATGGGGGAGGTGAGCTAGGGCAGTAATAATTTTCATTATAAGATGTTCATGGTGTTATATTTTAATTAGTACCATGTGCATATATTGCCTGTGTGCGTGCTAAGTTGCTTCAGTTGTGTTCGACTCCTGGTGACCCTATGGACTGTAGCCCACCAGGCTCCTCTGTCCATGGGATTCTCCAGACAAGGATACTGGAGTGGGTTGCCATGCCCCCCTGCAGGGGCTCTTCCTGACCCAGGGATCGAACCTGCATCTCCTATGTCTCCTGCAGTGGCAGGTGGGTTCTTTACCAGTAGGGCTGCCTGGGAAGCCCATGCGTATATTACTCAGATAAATTTTTGTATATAAATAGATTAAATATTTACATATACAACTATAACTTATATATTCTAATAATTAATATGGGCTTTCCCAGGTGGTTTTGTATATAATATGTTTCATATACGTAAATATGTATCTGATTGACACAAGGAGGTGAATTTGGGTGAGGATAGAGAATTCTTCTCTATGTCCATACTGGCTAAAACCTTGCCTTACTTTTCAGGCACACGGTTCCCAGCTGCCGGGGGGAGGATGCTAAGGGGAAGGGCCGGAGCTGGTATGAAGCAGCACTCTGTGACGGCAACCCGATTATTGTTTATCTTCATGGCAGTGCACAACACAGGTCAGTGCCTTTGCTTGGATTTTTTTTCCCCTCAAACAGAGCAAAAGAGCGTTTCATTCCTGTGGGGGAATGAAAGGCAGAGCTGTTTTTAACTGTGTAAGCATCCTTCCACACATTTGTTTCCATTTGTTGGAATTTGAGGGTGTTCTAGCAATAGGCTTCTCTTTAAAAAAAAAAAAAAATCTACTCTGTGACATCCTGCTCGAGTCACCAGCCACCTATAGACAACAAAAACAGAAGCAAATCTGTGCCTGCTCCATCAGATATGTAAACCTCGTCCAGCCTAGAGGAGAATCCATTCTCCACTCTGGATTTTGACCTCCAGGCCCACCTTTCAAAATTTCTCTGCTTCCTACATGAACCCGGCAAAGAAAATGACTCTCAAAAAAAAAATCATCTTAATGTATCTCAGAAGATGCTCATATCATCTTGGGTCTTGCCCATAAGCAAGGGTTCTGAGTAAAGAGTCATTTTTTTGCTGTAAAAAAAAAAATCTATATATTCCATATGTAGAATAATGTGGATCCTTACCTGAAAGGGAGACAAACTTCAAAATGTGGATACTGATTTCAAAGAAGGCAGTGTTGCTTTATTCTGTAAGAGTGTTGGAAATGATGAACTGAAGCCATGGATGACTTGATAGGAAATATGTATGCGGTATGGAGGATAAGGAAGAGTTTCCACATCAACGGTCTTCTCACAGAACCACATGGAGATTTAATCAAATGTATGATCTCCAGGAGAGATCCCCTAGAATTCTGATCCCAGGCTCTGGGGGGCCACCTGACTAATTGTAGCCTGGAATATTGATGCTGCAGCCCACTCCTGTCATCCCAACCTTGCTTTATAACAAAGAGTGCCTCCTGGAAGCCTGACTCTTCTTTGATGCACTGCCAGCCCCTCTGTGGGCCTGTGTCATTACGGTGGGTGATGAATATTGGCTCTGACTGTGGCTCTCAGCATGGGGGAGGGGTGATGCTCCTCAGAGACCCACAGACCTTGCCCAGTCTCTGGCGGGGGGGGGGACACTTCAAACTCAGTGACAAGCTCTGACTCTGCCCCTCAGCTCCCTCGCCTCTGTCTCTTTTACTCACTGTCTTTTGTGTCAGACAATGGCTTTCTCAAGCCTTGCCTTTGCTCAGGGGCCTTTCTTGAGGTTTATGCCTTAGAGTCACGTTTACAGAGATTTCTTGTGAAATCAACATTTTTCAACATTGTTTAACATTATTCCAGTTGTGCAAACTTGGGTACGGTGTTACAATGTACTTTTCTTTAACGTGTCCTGTGGGTCACACTATCAACATCTGCCCTCTGAGTGAATCGGCTCTTGCCCCCAGTTTTCCCAGATTTTCTGGCTCGGGACTAGCTACCTTCCTCTGTCCTGAAGTCTCAGCTTGCTTCCAGCAGTACTGATCTGGAAGGAGGCCAAATGACAGGTCACAGGGAACCTAGATGAAAACAGTGGTTCTAGACTTAGGATCTGTAGAAGCCCCAGAGGGTCTGTGAACTCCCAACCTCGAATTGTACATGAAATCTGAAGAGTGGATACATTTTTCAGGGCAGTGGGTCCATAGCTTTAATCACAGGTTCCAAGGGTTTCATAACTCACTAATATTTAAGAAACGTGGCTCTAAAAATGCAAATGGTTTTTAAAGACTCCTCTGTCTTTTGAGTCATCTTTTTCTCCCTCTTGTGTGGCTCATAGAGAGCAGACTATTGTTATTTGGAAAAAAGTGTTTCTTGAACCTCCAGGGTTATGAGTTTCTGTCCTCACTTCATCATGTCCCTCATGGCAGAACGGACAGGATGTAGGCAGATCTTACTTTCGTGAACTTGACTATGTGATCCCTTTTCCTGAAAAGCCACTTTCTGGGACTTATGTTCCTTTAGCTTCTGGAAGTATTCTGAGAAATAGGTTTTGCTGTGCAGCGGTGCAAGAAGATGGATCGTCAGCCGTTCGTCAGATGCTTATGTTGTGAAGCGCTAGTGGTCTGGGCAGGCGGTGCTCGCTGTGGGGAAGGCAGGGAGTTCACCCTGACTCAGGCACAGGGGCTCCGACACCAAGAAGTAGTGCCCTCTCCCCTGGTTATTTATTTGTCTCACCTGAAAAAGAAAGTAGTGAGATCAGATGCCAGCAGCATGATAGTGATTTTTGTTGAATGTGTCATCGTAATTCCTAATTCTTACTTTTTCTTTTAAACCTTCTCTACAGGGCAGCTTCTCATAGACTCAAGCTAGTAAAGGTATGTCTGAAGGGGCCTCAAGGCACCAATTTTACATTTCCATTTATTCTCTTCTGGGCTACAGCCCTAAGGTCTTCCTTAGCCCACAGCCAGGTTAGTTCCTGAGAGCTCCCTGGTGTGGGAGCAAGGGGGTGGGTGGTGGTGTCTGGGACCTACAGTCCCTTGAATGCACTGCTTTTCCTAAATTGACCTTGGGGGATTGAAACAGATGTCAACGTCTCTGAGTCTCAAACACTTTCATGGATTTGTTCCTTTCATCACCAGAAGGAATTGAAGACACATTTCTTTGCTTTTTCTGAGGGCTGGGTTGAGAAAATATATTAAGTGCAAAAGCCACTCCTTCTACCAGGAGCAACCTTTCTGTGGTATGGGATGAAGACATAGAATGTCTGCTCTTAGGTCATTCAGGCTCTTCTTTGGCCCCACAAAAAGTTCAGCAGAGGGAAGGTGGCCAGCCACAGCCTGGCGTCCTCACCAGCCTGCTACCTGCTCTGGTTTGTTGGGGCGGCCCCTGCACTTCCCAGCGTAAGGAAGATGGCAGGCTCTCCGCCTCACCATGTCTGACTCAGCGCTGGCTGGTGAGCTACTGTTTAGCCCTCCCACACTCCCGTGAGGTCATTAGGAATCCCTCCCTCAGGTGATCTGGCTGCTTGTCTAGTTATTGATCCCAGGACCTGATCTCTCCTCCCACAAGCCAGTTCCCACCCCAGAGCCCTTTCTTGATTTAACAGCATGAATGGGGTCCAGAATCCTGCCAGGCTCAGCACTCTAGCTCCATCTTCATCCCCCTTCCCCTGTTCAGACAGGGCCATCCTCTCCTGTCTACTCCTCCCCTCTCTATCACCCTGTGTGGTGGGTGGGCTGGATTACCATTTTGCCTGGGGGTGATGATGCCTATTAATTTTTAGGTTTGCTTTCTACACCCCACTCTTTGTACTTTCCAAGTGGGAGGGTGTGATGCTGATGACTGTAAGAATATGTATTTTTTTCCCCTTCTAATCTTGGCAAAGCTCAACTGTATGTCTCCTATGTGCATAGAAAGGAGCAGAGTCGTAGGTGTAGATGTGAAGAGTAGCCAGATCCTCCTGGTGGTGGGTGGGATGTGTAGGGATGCTATGATAAGACTTCTTCCTCCGGGCAAATTCTGGATTCCACAGACCATAGTCATCATTTTCCAGCCTGGCCAAACTTCCTTAGCTCTTCATTGTTTCCTTTGGATAGGCAATTTCTTTTAATAATTAAGTCATTATTAAATTCTTCTTCTTCTCTCTCCCCCTTTCTCATTCATTCATTCATCACTTCAATCATACAGCATATAAATGTTTTCATTTATGTGCCGTTCCCACCTAGTTTTTAATCTCTATAAAGTTTTTATGTTACTGATTATTTATATATATAATTTTATGTGGTGCTCTTTTACTTATTAAGAATATTCTTTGATGTTTTTCCATAGATGTCATAGTTACCAACTTAAAGGGTGCTCATTCTCCATTATTTATAGACAATTATTTATTTACTTAAATATTCTACTCATCTTTGATACAATTTTTTTTCCTAAATTCTTTTAGAATAGTATTGCTACAGAAAACTTTAAGCAGGTAGTTTATTCTTCTTTTGGAATTTTTTCCTGGAGATAAATTCTTGGGAGTAGGATCTGTTGTTTAAGTTGATTGTCAAGTGGTTCTTCAACTTATGGAACCACAAGCAACACATGGGTGTTCCAGCTTCCCTGGATGCTGAACTGCCCTGGGTCTTGGATAACTTACTTGGAAAGAATGTAGTTTAAATGTTAAAAAGTTTCATTTACTTCTTCATTATTAGTTCAGTTGTATTTGAAGTTCAGGGTCTCACATCTAAAGGCTCCCTTGGCTCACACAGTGAAGAATCTGCCTGCAATGTAGGAGACCGGAGGTCGATCCCTGGCTCGGGAAGATCCCCTGGAGAAGGAGATGGCAACCCACTCTAGTATTCTTGCCTGGAGAATTCCATGGACAGAGGAGCCTGGCGGGCTACAGTCCATGGCATTGCAAAGAGTTGGATGCGACTAACACTTTCACTTTTCTCTTTTTTCTCCCACATCTATGTCTGGGGGGGAAGCACAGTGTTTGAACCCAGGCAGGCCCAGGTGTGATCTTGGTTCAGTTGCTGTGGTTCAAGTTCTGGCCATTTGGATCTGTGTGAACAAGGTACTTAAGTTCTCCAAGGCCCTGTTTCTTTATCTGTAAAATGAAGATAATACCTACCTTGTAAGACTGTTGTAAGAACTAAATAAAACTTTAAAAGTGCCTGCATAGTAAAGTTTTGTCCCCCTTTACCTCCCTTCTCATCATCTGTCATTTGTATTTTCTTCATTTAAAATTATGTTTTTATATTCTTTTCTCATTTATCTATTCAGGGCTTGAAAGTGGTTTCATGTAATCAAGTGATTTATTTTTGATCAATATTAACTCTTTATCTGTTCATACTTAATACGAATATCTTCACATTATTGACTGCTTCTACTACAACTCTATGTAGCATTCTTACCTTCAGGAAGTTCCTACAAAAGATATTCACTATGTAACTCAGACAGTAAAGAACCTGCCTGTAATGCAGGAGACCTGGGTTCAATCCTGGATCAGAAGATCCCCTGGAGAAGGAAATGGCAACCCACTCCAGTATTCTTGCCTGGAGAATTCCATGGACAGAGGAGCCTGGCAGGCTATAGTCCATGGGGTCGCAAAGAGTTGGAGATGCCTGAGTGACTTAACACTTTCAAGGTGCTTTAAATTTATTAATCTATATTTTTGGCTTCATTGAGTCTCCCTTGCTGTGTGTGTGGGCTTTCTCTAGTTGCAACGAGCAGGGGTGCTACTCTTCATTGCAGTGCACCAGCTTCTCATATTCATGGCTTCTTTAGTTGCAGAGCGTGAGCTCCCAGTTGCATGGATTTCAGTAGCTGTGGTGCTCAGGCTTAGTTGCTCTGTGGCATGTGAAATCTTCCTGGAATTGAACTAGTGCCCCCTGCATTGGCAGGCAGATTCTTAACCACTGGGCCACTGGGGAAGTCCCCAAGGTACTTTAATACATCATCTCATGCAATCTTCCAACCATCCTGAAAGTATTGTTTTTCACTTCTCAGACGAGATTACACAGATGTTAAGTGGCTTGACCAAGGTCAGATAGCTGGTAAGTGACAGAGCTAGGGTGTGACCCAGGCTGTGTGATCCTGCTCTGCTGTTCTTTCCTGTTGAGTCTGATCTTAAATTTGAAGTCAAACACCAGATTTCAGAAATGGATCTTTTCTCTACCTATTAACCATGACCACCAGGATTATGGAAGTGTTGAGGAGGTGAGACCACCTTTTGTTTGCATCTCCTAATTAAAGTGGTAACAGCTCCTTTGTCATCCAGGTGCTGAGTAACGGTGGCTTTCATGTCTTGTCTGTTGACTACAGAGGTATGTGTTAAGAACACTGTACAAAAATTTTTCAATAAGCAGGGGCCTTGTGATGGCCCTCATTTTGGAGGTAGTGATATTATGTTTGCCTTTCCTCGTGGGCAGGGTTCGGGGACTCGACAGGTACACCCACGGAGGATGGACTGACTGCAGATGCAGTTTGTGTCTATGAGTGGACCAAGGCGAGAAGTGGTACCACCCCTGTGTGCCTCTGGGGCCACTCTCTGGGGACAGGGTAAGTGGGGTCTGAAGATGGGTCTTTAGGTGGATCCTTGGGGCGTTAGTGTCATATCATAGGCAGCAGTGAGCAGCAGGAGGACCCCTGAGCTAGGAGACAGTTTCTCTCAGCTTCCACAAGTGGCTAGGGGCCTTATACCTCAGCGTGCTTGTTTTTAATTCAAGGGGATGTGTAACTCTGTGGCTATCTATGACACTGAAGCCCATTCCAGAACTCTCCTTGAGAGTTTTAAATGAAAGGATTCTTCTTTAGGGCCAGTGGAATCCCTTGAAATCCTGTGCAAGATTTTGTGTTTATGTGCATTTGAGGGTCAAGAGCTTTCATCAGATGCTCATATTGGAAGTTGCATTTTGTACTGTTTACTTGACTGTTAAGTCACTGCTTCACATGTACTAATTTTCATTTCTTTACAGAGTTGCGACAAATGCTGCAAAAGTTCTAGAAGAGAAGGGTATGATAAAATGCTTACATGGTATAATTTCTCAGCTTGAGATGGGAAAATAAAAACAGTGAAGAGACTATTCTGTACAGTCTGAACACAGAGATACCTATAAGCACCCCAACTTTAGGCAGTTTTGGATAGTGTAATGAACTTTCTTTTTTTGTATTTAATATAAAGCAATAGCTGGTTTTCAGAGGCATGAAATTAAAAGTAAATACTAAGGAAAGAGTTAAAACTACCTTAAAAGAGCAATCATGTGAAGTGATAAATAAGTATTGTTATGGAGTAATCTGCTACAGGAGGAGGAAATTATACTTTATGCAATAGTAGGCAGGACGTGCTTTCTGCAGCCCTCCTTATGTAATATGTCAGTGTTTCTCAAAGTGTTCTGAGAACTGCCTTTATCAGAATCTGCTGGGGGTGTTTGTTATAAACACAGGTATCTTGGATCCTGGCTGTCTTCATGAACTAGATATTCTATGAATAGGACCAGGTGATTTGATTCTGACATGCATTGAAAGCTTGTAATCACTTGCATTATATCTTAAACTTTACTTGGCAGTACAGGTCAGGGTGAGTTACGTAAACATTTTAAAGCGTGTCACCTGCTCTACACAATCTTAATTACTTATGGAAATAAAGCAAACATCATTTCATTGCTCCTTTAAGCTCTCATGGCTCCTTTAGTATTGACAGTGCTGTATTGCCTGAACTGAATTCCCACATAAATGAATACTTCACTTCCTGGATAATGTAATTATCTTAGAACATTTTAAATCCATTAAGTGCCCAACTTATGCTACCATGTATTTTAATTTTCTCTATATCACATACTCCATAAAACATTATTATTCTTATGTTATCAAGTCAATATTTAGATTTACCCCCCCTTTTTTTTTACTCTTTATTATTTCTAACATGTCTATGCTTCCATCTGGGATTTTTCTTCCACCTGTCTGTCGGTGAGGAATTCTTTCAATTTTGGTCTGAAAATGTTTTTATTTCATCTTCACTTTTAAAGGATATTTTTATTGGGCATAGAGTTCTAGAGTGGCAGTAAGATAACTATTTCACTATTTTACCATTTGTTATTGTCAGTAAGTTATTTTAAAGCCCATATATGGTAACTTCAGTATTTGATCTTTTGTTCTCAGAGTGTTGGCCAAAACAACCTAATCAGCTTCTGCAGCACACTCTCCCTTCCTATAATCCTTCGCTTTCTTAAATTATCCAAGTCATGAAAATCTGCTTGTTTTAAAGGTAGTGATTTTCTTTATCACGTGCACAGAAATGAAATCTCTAGCGGTGCTGGTTAAAAATGCGCATTCTCACATTTCCCACCCCCAAGATCCTGACTTCTCACCGAAGTCTGGTGTGGGGTCATTACTTTGCATTCACAAATTTAACAATTTATTATGATTCACAAATGATTTTGATGCAGGTAGTTCACGTACAAGACGAGGATCCCTTATTTAGGAGAGATAGTATTTAAATATGATAGGGGAGTTCTTTCTTTTTTATTATTTTTCAAGGATTCCCAGCTGATGCAATTATCCTGGAAGCTCCATTTACCAACATATGGGTTGCAAGTATCAATTATCCCTTGTTAAAGGTGAGTCTCATACATCTTTACAAGATGTCAAAGGCAGGCTGTTTATTAACCATTTTCCCTTTCTTAACTAGTCTTATATATTTCTAAGTTATTCTAACTTGTGATAGGTTAGTAGCCAGTTACTATTAAAGGAGGGCACAATGGCTTTTGTATTTTTGTTCTTTTATTTCCTTCTAGTAGATTTAGTGGCTTGTGTATGTGCTGTGCTAAGGCGCTTCAGTCGTGTCCAGCTCTGAGACCCTATGGACTGGAGGCCACCAGGCTCCTCTGTCCAAGGGTTTTTCCATGCCCTACTCCAGGGGATTTTCCCAACCTTGGACATGAACCCGCATCTCTTATGTCTCCTGCATTGGCAGGCAGGTTCTTCACCACTACCACCAGCTGGGAAGCCCTTCAGTGGCTTATTAAGAGCCAAAGATTTTTTCACCACCCCCCCGTCCAATTAACTAAATTACACCTCTTCTCTTTTATAATTTTTTTTAATATATAGACTTGTCTTTGGTTCACTTATTTATTGTCCCTTTTCAAAGTGAAAATAAACCTTTCATATGTCATTTTTAGCCCTATGAATGTCAACCACATATCTTTCATTATTTTATGATACGAAAGTCTCTAAAGAATTCAAGAAGCTGCCAGATAGTTTTACATGGCATCCCAGGTGGAGAAGACCATCTTTCCAAGAAGATAAATTAGAAAAGATTGACTGACAAGATGTGGTTTTTTATATTAGCTAATTCCATAATTTCATTCCATGTCTCATGCTCAATTGCTTAGTTATACCTCTATATACATGTTAGTAAATGAGAGAGAAAGAGGTAAGATTCTTAGAGGGGACATGTAGCCCAAATTTGCAAATTGTTGATTACTGTTGGAAGGCATCTTAAGGGTATTTAAATCCACTGTCTACCCTTGGAATCTTTCATACAGTAAATCATCATAGAAGTTTCTGTAATTTGCTTAACTATTTCAGCTCATTACATCCCAGGACAGCTAGTTCACAGAACCACATAATCTTAAAATGCCTGTACACTCTAAGCTCAACTCATTACAGGAATCCCCTCTACAATCCAAAATACTGAATGCTGAGTAATTTAAGATTCAATAAATAAGCCATTTAAATTGGTTCCAGACAATTAAATATTAAAGATAGTTAATTGAACATCTGTTCCTATTACTCTGAATAATTACTAATAAATTCACTAGCTTGTAGATATGTTAGTTTAGATACAAGTTTTCCATTTACTTTTTTTTTGAAATTTTGTTAATTCTGAAATTGAACATAATAGAGACATCTATGATTTAATAGTTATAAACTGAACCTCCATGTAACCACCATTCAAGTCAAGAAATTAGCAGCCCTGGCACCCTGGAAGTCTCCTGTAATGTTATTTCTCAGAGCAGTGAGCCTCACCTCAGATGTAATCCTTAGTCTGAAGTTTATGGTAATTATATTCTGTTCTCTTACTGTGTTTTCTATTTGTGTCATCTCATCTGTGTTCTGTTGCCTCTACTTTCTGGCTTTCTTTTGACTTGGCAGTTGTCTCAAGGAGCAAAGTAGTGTTGAGTGTGAGGCTCACCTCTCTGGGCATCCCTTCTCTCTGGGGTCTGGACCACTCAAGACCTCACTGCCTTGGTAGATCTCTGAAACCTTCACAGAAAGGTTTTAATATATTTTCTTTAAGAACCATGGCTCTGGTGTCAGACTTTCTGGGTTTTTTCCCCACGGTGTCACTTAACAGCTATGTAACCTTGGGCTAATTGCTTTTAATGCTTCGTTAAATCTATTTAAGATTATTGGGATAAATAAATTCACATATGAAAGGCATGTGTAAGGGTGCTGACACAGAGTAACCGCTTAGTGGCCATTAGTTGTTTTTATTAGCAGTGGAGCGCCGTTGGTAAGGCACTGCTGAGTAACAAAGCGTAGGTGGTGTGAGACTTAGACACAGTGAAAGGCATAGGTCCTAACCCTTAAGAAGTTTTCTGCAATTGGGGAGATAGGGATATAAAGTAATGACATGGATTTCCATGTATCACTTTGGAATCAGTTGGAATAGGAAGGCAGCATGGGATAGTGGAAAAAGACTCTGGGCTTCATAAAGGTAGACAGGTTTGGGTTTGGGTTCAAATTTTGTCTCTGCCACTAACCAATTATGACTTTGGTAGACCACTTCCCTTTGTTGTATTTTTCCTATTTTTATAATGAGGTTGATACTGCATAGGGATTTTGTGTATTTGTATTTTTGAATTAAGTAAAATAATCATGCAAAACATGGGCACTCAACAAACACCTCTTTCTTTTTCCCACTCAGGTACACAGGAGACAAAGCTTGTGTTGGGGGAGGCCCAGAACAATAATTTCAGGGACAGGAGAATTCAGGGAAGAGAAGGGTGTTGTGCACAGGTGTGATCAGTGAAGACTTACAAAGAGAGAGGATCTAAGCTCACTTCTTAGCGAGGTGAGGGAGAGGGAGAGCAGTTAGGAAGCACAGACAGGAGGGGAGAAGGTGAGCCAAGGCATGTGGCCAGAATGGGGCGATTCTGTCTTATAAGATACTCAGAGGCATGGAGGACCTCTATGTAAGAGCTTTTGCACTCGGCATCCTTTTAAATCCTCAAGCGCCTGAGTCTGGCACCATTACCTCCACGGAAAGCTGAGGGAGGTGGAGGCTCAGTGGCCTGCCCAACTGCCACTCACCCTGTAAGGAGGAAACAGGACTCAGTCCTACCTTTCCTAACGCCTGGCAGACAGCTTTTAGGATGAAAGACTGTGGCCAGATGTGGATGGCCTTGCAGCCAAGATAGGAGCTGTTTGTTTTTCTAAATAGAGTTCCACTCCCCACAATCTGTAACAGCAGGTTTAAAGAATATTTATCTGGTGCAATTCCAGAATAGAGAGGAGGCAGGGAGACCAACTAGGAGCCCCTCACTGTGGTCTGGGCTGGAGGGGAGTTGGACCTGTAAGTCCGGAGGGGCACCCCTGGCTGGAGAGGAGTGAGGGATCACAGGAGTGGATGGACTGAGAAAGAAACCCACTTTCTCCTCCCTCCTCTGGAACCTGAGATGAACTGTCAAAGGACTTCTCTTATTGAGCTCTCATCAGAGGAGTCCTGATTCCAGGGGTAGAAGAACCAAAGACAAAGAAAAGAGAAGACAAGAAATCTTGCTCTTAGCACTGATAAGGGCAAAGGAGGGGAGGGAAAGAGAAGCAGTGTTAGGATCTCCAGACCGCACCTGAATGTGGGTCCTTGCTTTGCGGCCATGCCAGAAATACAGGCCAGATGGACCCTGGGGAACCACGTGGGTTCCCGCAAGCAGCAGGCTCATGTCCAAACTGTGAAGCAGAAGTTTGTCTTTACTGGCCTCAACCTGCATATTTTGTACCCATTTCTCTACCAAGTGTGAAAATATTAGTTCTCAGTTCTCTGAATCTTTGTGGCCCCATGGACTGTTGCCTGCCAGGCTCCTCTGTCCATGGGATTTTCCAGGCAAGAATACTGGAGTGGGTTACCCATTTCCTTCTCCAAGGGATCTTCCCAACCCAAGGATAGAACCTGAGTCTCCTGCTTTGGCAGGCAGATTCTTTACCACTGTGCCACCTGGGAAGCCCCATGCACTGTCTACTTTATCATGTGTGATTTCGTTTTTCTTCCTTCTTGTATTTTCCAAAGTGTGGAAGTGAAAGTAATGTGAATTGTTTTTAAAATCATAAAAGTTATGTTTTCCAAAAAAGTTTAGTATATTTAGAAAGTCACTACACTCTATACTACTATAGTTCATAGTGAGAACCTCTAACAAATGACATAGCTTTAGGCCATATTTTAATTTTTTTCCTTTTTGAAAAACAGATTTACCGGAAACTTCCAGGATTTTTAAAGTCAGTTATGGATTCCCTGAGGAAAGACAAACTAGTCTTCCCCAATGATGAAAAGTAAGTTAATCATGTAAAGATGTCGTTTATTAGATTCTAGGGGGTAATTATCATGTAACTTACTGAATAGGTAGATGAGAATTGTTAGATGGGCAGTAGGATTTGGGGTAAAGTGTGTCTACAGATTTTTAGTGTTTGGTATTATGTTTAGGTCTAACTTAATAACTTTACCAATTCAGTACTTTTCTCTGAAGTTATGAAGGGATTTGTAGTTTATGGTGTTTTAGGACCTTTTAAAGGTCCTGTAGGGTCTAACCTAGCATTCCTTGGAGGAATCTCCGACTTCTAGGCCTTATTCCCCAGGTAACCAAAATCCATACACCATCTAGCCGACTACCCAACAGCAAGTCCAGTGACTAGAATGTGGCAAGCTAGCTTCTCACAGTTGGAGAATCTAGAGTGCTTGTAAATAGGCAGTCGTTATCAGTATGTTTTCCTATTTCAACACACTTGAGGAATTTGACATCCTGAGGAGTAGCAGTGAGTCACTGTGGCAGGGGTGGCTGGTATCAGAATTTGGGAGGGGCCAAGAAAGGGATTTTGCCATTCTTCATGTCATGGCCTTTTTGAATTGCCAAATAGGAAGTTGACCAGGAAGCTAGTCAAACCTGTTAGCATCTCATGTCCATCCTGTACATTTACAGGGAAATGTAAATAAATTGCTACAAAGAGTTCTCTTTGGTCTTGTGGTAGTTCTTATTATTTCCTGGTTTTGTTAATTTTTTTTAATTTTAATTAAAACATTCCACATATTATGAAATAAGGTAGAATAAGGAAAAAGTGAAGTTCTTTTAATTCTGCACAAATTCAGTTTTTGTTATTTTTAAAAATCACATAAGAATAAATTAAATACCTGATTAAATTATATGACTAAATAGAAGAATCTTGGCTGGAAGAAAAATGTCACTATATGAAGCTTATTATATATGAAGTTGTTATTCCTGGGAGGGATAGAAAGAGTGTCTTTTATTTGGGGTGAACTTCATGTTTTGCTAAAGCCTGGACTTAGAAGAGGAGAAATCTCAATGTATTTCTTGAACTGAATACTTTTCTTCCACTTGTTCCTAGTGTCAAATTCCTGTCTTCTCCCCTTCTCATCATACATGGTGAGGATGACAAAACGGTACCTTTGGAATTTGGAAAAAAGGTATACTAAGCTCAGTGGCTGATGGAAACATACTAATTTCACCATTTTCTCAGCCAGCCAAACTTTGATTAGTGCCAAAAGAAGGGTCTCTGACATTATAAGGGATTCTGTGCATCCTGAGTTGCTGTGTTGGCTGGTGTACACAATAAGTATCAGCATGCTATGCTGTTCAGCTCAAAGGAGTGTATGTAGGGGATCCTGCTTCCTCATCTGGGGTCTGGATCAGCAAATGCAGAGAAGATCCCAGAAAGTTCTGGGAACTTCCAGGCAATCTTTCCTGCAGTGGCTCTAAAAATAGGGATGCTGTTCCTTTTCTTTTAAATGGATAGTCGGGGTCCACTGCAGTTCCTTGTCCCCCCGCAGGGAGGTATGGGCAGGGGTATGATGAGGTCTTGTCACTGTTCTATGTGATGTGCAGCTTTCCTTCCTTGGTTATACAGGCAGCCACTCAGAGAGATGGAGGGTGCCACATCACCAATTCAATGGAACTAACTCCCTAAGACAGTTGTTTCTATACCCTTTCAGGAAAATTAGATTAGAAAAACAAAACAACAGCTGGAAGGATCAGCCTTTGAGTCCTTGTCTTTCTGCCCCTTGCAGCTCTATGAAATTGCGCACAATGCATATAGGAACAAAGAGAGGGTGAAGATGGTGATCTTTCCTCCTGGCTTCCGACACAACTCCCTTTGTAAAAGCTCTGCACTGTTACATACCGTGAGGTAAGAGTTGCTCTGCTAAATGCAGTGAGGGCTGCTCTGGCTTACTTAAGACCACGTGGTGGGGAAGGCATGTAAGATCATCGAGGTCTTTTTCCTGCAGAGATTTCCTGAGCCAGCAGTGGGCGTGAAGTCTGAGAACAGCAGAGAGTGAAGACTTGGTCTGGACACCAGCTGTGATGTGAACTTTTTATGTATAACTGTATTGGGCTGCTTGAGTGAGCTGAACTTACTGACATTTTTATAAGTCACCTGCCATTTTAGTAAGGGAAAGAAAGCATGGATGTTGGGTATTATGGGATGTTCTCTTTTATCTTATCATAGTCTCCTTTGGGGAACATGCAGGAACATCACCATGGAGGATGAGAATTTGGTAAAAATTTGATCCCATCTGAAAATGTACAGTTACCCACATTCTGAGGATATTTGTGGATAAGGTGGTCTTTGATTTGGACCTAGATAGCAGTATAAGAAAGATGCTCCAATAGTTAAATAATTTGTATTTCAGTTTAGTTAATTTAAAAGGCATTAAAAAGCTCCAAGCTGTTTTCTAGCCTTCCAAATAGCACTGGGGAAAGTCCTAGTCTTCTCCCCAATCTGCTACAAAATAGAGATATGGCACTCATATAGCCTTTGGAAAGTGACACTTTATTAGCCCTAGCAGAGTCATACACTTTCCCTCCCAATTCCCAGAGATACTTAACTAGATTATTATTTAACAAAATGAAACAAAATCAAAGAATGTTGTAAAAATGTTCAAGTCCAGTAAGAAGCTATTTTTTTCTCAGGACATTTTACGACTTACTTTCCATTGGCTTTGTTCGCCCCACCGCTGGGTTCACTGGACAGGGAAATCTTTATGTCTGAAGGCTCCATGTTCCAGATGTCCCGGGCATACTCCTTAATCGTTCGGTCACTGGAGAATTTCCCCGAGGCGGCTATATTTTTGAGGACTGTGATGTTCCAGGCCTTTGGATTCTGTAAATGACACATACATCTAAGGCCCAGGGCCTGAGTGCACACCAGGCTGTATGACAGACATCAGGCCAACACATCCAAGTATAATTCAGGGGGAAAGTGACAGGAGTAAACTGTAATGAATCATCAGTACATTTGTTTCACAGTTGGGAGCTGGATGGGCAGCCTGTGCTATTCTCCTATTTAAGATGGTTGTGCTGTGCTGAGTTGCTTCAGCCGTGTCCAGCTCTTTGCAGCCCTATGGACCACAGCCTGCCAGGCTCCTCTGTCCATGGGGCTCTCCAGGCAAGAATGCTGGAGGGGGCTGCCATGCCCTCTAGGGTATTTAAGATTATATTTCTCTAAAAATGAAAAAGAAAGTATTTTTCACTCTCAGAGAAACCTTAATTGGTAATTTCTGCCATAGTTACAATGTTCTGGCATGTAAGCTCTATTTCCCATCTTCATTTTGAATGAAGATATCTCAGCTTCCTTTAAACTACAGGGGAAAGACTAACTTCCATTGTCTGCTAGATGCTATACAAGAAATTTACCCTGTGGCTCATGGTCAGAGCTCGGGAAACACTATAGGATGTTAGCTGTCACATAGGCAGACTTTATTCACTGACTGCTCTTTCCTTATTTTTTTCTGAAGGTAGATATTCCAATAAGTTTACACTGAATCCCAGATACTCCACTGGGGTTTGAAAACAGGACCAATTAAGGTTTTATCTTAAATAAAAAATATATGACTAAATATCTAAATAAAATCTCTTTCATAGTTTTATGTAAAAAAAATAAGCTATTTATTTTATAGCCTCATGATTTTGTAAAGGACTCTAAGAAGGAGTTCGATGGCAATGACTAGAATATCATTTGAAAAAGACAGCAATGCATTAAAAGCATTTAAAACAAAAACTAAAACTGTGAGTCTGAAATTATTCACACTTTGGAAACTTACTAAAATAAGAGAATAGAAGCTTCCTTTTTTCATGTTCTTTATTTAAGGGGATAATGACTAGACTTCCCAACCACATGGGCCATGTTTTCTATGCCTCAACAATAAGAGTAAAAGCTGTAATTTGCACTAACGAAGAAGAAAGGTGGAGGGGAATGCTGGGACTCTAGGTGGGCATCCCTTGGTTCAGGGCCATCACAGGACTACTGTGTAAAAGCCACATTCACACTTGTGCTTGCGTCACGTATATTTTCCTTTCCTGCTCTGTTTTACTTCTACTTCTTTTCCTTTACATTCTTTCCACACACAAGCATGGGTTGAGGGCAAGAGGCTGAAGCTGGAGGTGGCCATTTTCCTTCCTCTGTCTTTGCGTTCTCAGAGGCCGAGTGGGGCTGCTTTCTCCAGTGTTCCGGGAACAGGAAGTGAGCTCCTCCGCTTAACTCCAGCACTGCCTCTGCTTGGGCAGCATGTAAAATTGGCTTATATACACTCTAGGGGGACTGGGATATGCTGTAAAGCAGTATGGGTCTTGAATGATCCTATTTTAACACCCCAGTGGGATATCTGGGATGACTGTAGGAACCACCCTGTCACTTGGCCTCGGAAAAGAAATGTCAGTGAAGTAGGTTTCTGCTGTAAGTAGTTCCTGATACGTCCAAAGGGCAGGAGGTGGAGACTGTATGAATTTCCATGGTTCTGCTATATAATGGCTTTGTAGCCGGGGAGCAGGAATGGGGACTGTGTGGGCAAGAAGCCAGCGCTGGAGCCTTGGCACGGGGCCAGCTTCCTCCTGCGTCTGTTCTTCTGTGGTTTCTGCAGTTCACTAAAAGTCTTTCCTACCAGAGGTGATCGCCTTTCCATATATTCACCACATGTACCTAGAGGGGTGGGCTGTTTGGTAAAGATGCATGATTTTGCATATGGAGGGTTCCTCACATGCCTCTAGCCTTTTTCTCTTTTCTCTCCCTCCCTCCATCTCTCTCGCTCTCTTCCTTAGTATAGTCTTTCTTGTTTCGTTCCTTTTTTTTGAAAGCTCAAATATGAAGCCCCCCCCCCCACCCTTCTATACATTTATATTCTGTTCATATAGCACCACTCCATGGATAGTCCAGGAGAGGTACTTATTTTGCAACTTTCAGATACCCTCTAGTATTCTAAGGCTCAGTCTTAGAATCCCTTTAGCAGATTTTTCAAATGCTGATGGTGATTCTACCCACTGCTGGGTCAGAATCCCTCAGAGGGCAGTGGGCGTCTGTACTTTGAGAAAACTGCCTGGTGACTCTGATGTGCTTCCGCTTCAGGGCCCTGGCACCAAGCAGGCTCCTTGAGGGGCCACGGCTTTGTCCCTGCTGGGTCTCAGCACTCAGCATGGTGCCTGCCTTGGAGGAGGCACTGGTGTCTCTGCTGAATAAATGAGTGGGTAAAGTGAGTATCTAACTTGGCTTTATACTCTTTAGTTTCTAGGACATGCTTGCTACATGGTGGGTGCTCAATAAATACTGAATAATTTGTGACTTATTTGGATATTAAAAAAATTTACAACTGCTACTGAAATGTCAAATCCCAACCTTTGCCTGAACTTGGGAACAGTCCAGTTTTTATCTGAAAAACCTACATTGCTGCCTCACTTCCCTTTTATGATTGGTTAGTGGGGCCCTGTAATTTAGAAAAAGAAACCAAAATTTTGATGAACGGTAGTAAAGTGGCATCATTTGTAAGTCAGCCATGAACTCACCATGTACAGCTGGCTGACTTTTTCTTGACATTTGACGTAGGCTTCATAGTCTGCAAATACTTTAAACCTGTTTTTGTGATCAAAAGGAAAAAACAAAGCATCAGAAAGCTTCATTAACAGATGTGTGTTCAGATTCCATTTAAAATTCTCTTTTGCTTAATGACAGGCATGGCTGGCTTACCAGTCTGATATTTCTATTTGTAGGGGTTTCAACCAGCCCTCAACCTCTCTATGGGTCTTTCCACAAGTAAGAATGTTATCACATGGATGCATTTGAAAGCTGGGTACACCAGAGGAAGGAGAAAAGGAATACCAGATTTGTGGATCTTGTTCTTAAGTCTTCCTAGCTTGTTAGTGGAGAATACCTATTTTTTGTTTCTAAGCCTAAGTTAGCTTACCAGATTGCAGATCTATGCTAATCTACATGTTTATGTTATAGTTGATTTAAGATGTTCTCATCCCTTTTTCCATGGCCCAAGTAGCACCATCTTCTTGTGGGAACTCACCTGTCATGATAAAATAGCATGTTGACTAAGTCTTTGAAGAGGTCAGGCTGCTTGGGAGAAAAAAAGCCCTTGTCAATTTGATCAATGGCCAGCTTCAGCTCTGGAAGTGCCTCATAATATTCTTTTGCCTCATACCTGTGGGGTAGCAAGTGGGGGAATAATAAGAAAAGGTTCTGTTAGTGTTTGTGATTAAGATTCTGTTTGTGATTAACAGCACACTAGATGGTACATTAGTTGTGAAAAAGGCATTCAAAAATACTGGCATTCATAGTCATCATAGAGTTCAACAGGAGTATAAGTATAAATAATATTTAACTAGATCCTGATATTTTTTTCCCCACTAAATTTGATTAGTTCCTTGTAACCAAGACACTAAGGACAGTAGATAATAAAAATCCTAGTCACAGAGCAATAGTCTAATCTGGTAAATACAGTAAGATTCATTTCAAACAGACTTTATGACTCTAAACAAGCATCATACAGGTGCTTTTTGGACCCACAGATAGTCAGATATGTTGCTACTGAGCGAAAGTTTACTTCCAAGGGCTGGGAAGTATAATCCACATTTTGTGATTCCCGTGGTTCCTTTGAGCGGCACTCTGTCTTTACTTCTCGTTTGAATCCAGGTTAATAAACTTATCCAGATACTTAGTGGAACAAGTATTCTGGGTGCTTCTATACAACCAGGCCTATTCTCTACTGCCTGTTAGTCCATCTCTTAGAGACCTTAAAGGAACACTAGGTGGTTAAATTAGCGTTAAATGGCAAAACTTCAACTACACACTGGTTCAGTTTTTTGATCAAAGTAAAAATCACAAATGAGGGAGAAGTGAATAGCTCATGAGGCCAGCTCTGCCACAGCTGGTAGCAAATAGCGAGGAGCCCGTGTGCCTGTGCCCAAGCTCCTTTGGTTTTCACATGCTGGTCAAAGACTTAATCAACAGTCAGAGGGTCCCCTGATTCATAGGGTGTGTTCTGCTGCCATGTCCCATGTCCCAACTTGATGGGGCACCTGGGGGGGCAGCAGCCTCCTGGGGGGACACGTGCCCAGCGAGCAGGACTGCTGTCTCACCCTTTCTTGTCCAAAGCAGCCACGTCCTGTACTCTCATGCCGAAGATGAACAGGTTCTCCTCCCCGGCTTCCTCGGCCATTTCCACGTTGGCCCCATCCATGGTCCCGATGGTCAGGGCCCCATTCAGCATGAACTTCATGTTGCCTGTCCCTGAGGCTTCGGTGCCTGCGGTGGAAATCTGCTCCGACAGATCTGTGGCTGGAATGACTGCAAGGAAGGCGTTAGCGATAGAATGAGTGGTTCTGTCTCTCTGGATCTGCTTATATAGTATCTAAGCATTCATCTGGCTGGTCTGTTTTGATCATTAAAGTAGTACATGCACATCAAGATAAATATTCAAATGGTGTAGGATGGATCTCATTCTTCCCCTTGACTCTAGCAACCACTCTTGCCCACTTCTGATGTGTTATCTTGGTGGTTATGGCCACAGTGCTAAAAAGGTATATACTTATTTTGTACTACCAGTCCATGGGGTCACAAAGAGTCAGACATGACTGAGTGACTAACACACTTTCACATTGTCTCTCTGCTACAAAAGTTGACACTACTGTGAAATAAAATTCTGTTTTATGGCAAGACAAGAAAAATTTAAACAAGAAAACATTTTTTCTGCCTTTTGGTCTCCTCTCTCTCCTCTACTGTGCATTGTGTATCTTGGGTTATGCATGGACCAAACCTCCTCATCAGCAGAAATATCCCCATAGAATGTAAACTGATACAGCCACTATGGAAGACAGTATGGAGATTCCTTAACAAACTAGGACTAAAACAACCGTATGACCTAGCAATCCCACTCCTAGGCATATACTCTGAGGAAACCAAAACTGAAAAAGACACACATACCCCAGTGTTCATTGCAGCACTATTTACAACAGCTAGAACATGGAAGCAACCCAGATGTCCACTGACAGATGAATAGATAAAGAAGTTGTGGTACATATACACAATGGAGTATAACTCAGCCATAAAAAGGAACACATTTGAGTCAGTTCTAATGAGGTGGATGCACCTAGAGCCTATTATACAGAGTGCAGTAAGTCAGAAAGAGAAAGATAAATATCATATACTAATGCATATATATGGAATATTGAAAGATGGTTCTGATGAATTTATTTGCAGGACAGCGATGGAGAAACAGACATAGAGAATAGACCTATGGACACGGGGAGAGGGGAGGAGGGAGAGGGTGAAATGTATGGAAAGAGTAACATGGAAACTTACATTACCACATGTAAAATAGATAGCCAGTGGGAATTTGCTGTATGTCTCGGGAAACTCAAACAGGGGCTCTGTGACAATCTAGAAGGGCAGGATGGGGAGGGAGAGGGAAGGGAGGTTCATGAGGGAGGGACATGGGTGTACCTATGGCTGATTCTTGTTGATATATGACAGAAAACCACAAAATTTTGTAAAGCAAATGTCCTTCAATTAAAAAATAAATAAATTAAAAAAAAAGAGAAATAGCCTCATAAAGAGCAACATGCTCCTAGCACCAATAAGACAGCTCCTTAAAAGATAACATTCCTTCTTGATCTTGTTAGGACATGATGACCTACTACTTTGTACTTGGCAGATCTGGATTATGTATACTGTCAGTAATATGGCATTTAGTGTAGAGCTCTGTCTCAAAAAAAATTTATAGAACTGCTTTGACTTCTAATAGGTAGAATAATGGGTTCTCAGAGCTTTCTGATCTGCAGTTCCTGGGTTATCCTCAATTTGGCTTGAATAAAATTTTCCATTTGTTTTGAATTGGAATTTTCCATTTCTTTTGAATTGGAATTTTCCATTTCTTTTGATTGATTGATTAATTTTTTCATCAACCCTACACTTCTCTTCTCCCCCTTCTTCCATTCAGCTTCTGTTATGGTTTTATTTCTTCTATTGATAACTTTATAAAATGAATATTGAAACTTCTCTTTCTTGATCCTTAAAATTCAGAATCTCTCCTTTAGCATCTGAGGAAACTGGATTGTGTCCTGTCTTCTACTTCTTATCACCTTCCTTCCACTTTGACTTCGGGGAAATAAGCCACAGGCAACTGAGGCATACCTGTGGCTTGATTCACACAGAAATACTGCCTGCAGCATCCTCCCCACCCCCTCAATACAAAGCATAGGGCTTTGACAGCTTATTTGTGGATTAGATATATCTTCATTTGCATCCATAAGAATCTGGCACTTTGTTCTTTATGCAGACAGTTCTTAAATTGTAACATCAGAGGACCCAAAAACACCTCAAAAAGAGAAAGGTCCCTTTCCAATTTGGGAAAAGGGTAAACACACAGTTGGCACATGCGTGTGGATGATGCTTCATGATGCAAACAAATAAAGGTCCCAGTGGAAGAGAAAGGGATGTTGGCTTCTTGCCAGTTGGGCTGTCCCCAGGTGGGGATGCCATGCCTGCTCTGAGTGCCTATCTGAGGCACATCTAAACCTAGGGCTTTGGCAGCCTGACATGTGTCCTCATTCCCTGCTGCCACCTGAACAAATGACAGCCCTTCTTTCCAAGAAGTCACGAGAACAATACCTGGGGACTGGGGAATTGGTGTTCTACTGCAAAACGGGTGCTGGGAACCGAAGATCTCTTTTTTCTTTTGTAGAGCAAAGTCTGTACTTTATCAAAATTTCAGGGCCACCTTCTCCAGCACCCAGCTTTGACCAGCAGGGAATAAAATGTGCTTGCACATGTAACCTCTGATGTGGACTCTGGGGACACTCACCTCAGTGTCAACTGGGCCACCTTAAACATTCTTAGCCTAGGGTCTTATTCTGCCTAAGACTGGCACCTTCTATCCTGAGTCACTGGCTCCTGAGGCTAGTGGCTCCGTTTTCCTGTAGTATGTAATCCATCCCTAGACTGTGGCCCAGCCCCCATGGTCCGTGAGGACCGCACTACCTTTTTCTGCAAGAGACACTCTGTAGTTCTCCAGGAAGATGAGTTTCAACTTGCTTCCAACCACAGGGTCATTGTTCACCACCTCAGCCACGGATGTGATCAGCTTTATGATAAGTTTGGCCATGTGGTATCCGGGGGCGGCCTTGGGGAGAGTGTGGACATGAGAGAAGGCAGGCATGAGGGAGTGGAGAAAGGGCGAGAGAGGAGAGCCCCCACGTCCTCAGGGCAGAGACTCAAACTTACTTTGCCACCGATTATAACCGTTCTGGGCACGAAGAGCTTCTTTGGGTCTTTCTTAATGCCTGAAAAAGATGGAGATAGAGGATGGAACCGATGACGAGACCTGCACCTCTGGGGGGCTGGCTGGGGGCCACAAGGCTGACTCACGGTTGTACATGGTGACCACATGCAGGCAATTCAGGAGCTGTCGCTTGTACTCGTGGATACGCTTCACCTGCACGTCGAACATGGAGGACGGGTTGATCTTCACTTTGTACTCCTTCTCCAGGAACTGAGAAAACTTCAGCTTGTTCTCCTGTCGAGACAGAGCATGGGGCCAGAGCCCTTGGGACTCAGAAGGAACTGGTGTAGGGGGTGGTGGTGGTGGTCTGTTTTTAAACACTGGAGCATAAACCCTCCAAGCCAGCGGCCAGGAAAGAATCTGTGTGGGGAAGCCTCACCTGCTTCACATTGGAGATCTCACGGAGGAAGATGTCGTCGCCCAGGAAGCTGTTCAGCTTCGTCAGCTGGCTCAAGTCCTTCACGTAGTCCTCCCCAATTTTCTTTCAGTTTAAGGCAAAAGGTGACTTTAATCAGAGAGGGCTGTCAAACCCACACGAGCAGTTTCTGTCCATCTGTGGTGGGTGCTCACATTCCTAAAACTCATCTACACCCCACAACACAGAGGAAGGCTTCACTCACAGAAGATGCTAGAGATGATATGCGGGAAGAACACTGGCTAGTACCTCACATGTAGTTTCAGTGGTTTTTTTGATGTTGTTTGGTCACTCAGTTGCATCTGACTCTTTGTGAACCCCATGGACTGTCTGCCAGGCTCCTCTGTCCATGGGATTTCCCAGGCAAGAAAACTGGAGTGGGTTGCTATTCCTCGTTCATGGGAACTTCCTGACCCAGGGATGGAAACCACGTCTCCTGCACTGGCAGATGGATTCTTTGCCACTGAGCCACCGGGAAAGCCCATTAGTTTCAGTGGTACTAAGTGTTAAAAACAGAAAATCTACAAAAAACAGTGACAAAAACTCAGGTTCTGCTAGTCATTTATATGATCTTTGTTATCCTCTTTTATTAAGTAGGGGTACCACCTGTGTGTTGTATGAGTACTGTTAACCAGGACTAGCTACATAATGTGTGGGACTTCCTTTTCTGGAATTGAGAATTTTAAGATGGCTACAGCAGAAAATGAAACCAAGCCAGTGCACGTGGGGCTGCACAAGTTGCTGGCTTGCGCCTGAGGCCAGCCCTGCTGCAGCCTGGATTAGTAAATTCTAAGTGTGCTCCCAGCCTGCCACATTCCAGTCACGCCCGGCTTCCCCTCAGCACTTCCCGGTTACCTCTGCTATTAACTCTGCCAGCCCTGGGTTGCAGAGTAAGAGCCAGCGCCTTGGAGTGATCCCATTGGTTTTATTCTGAAACTTGTCTGGTTCTAGCTCACTGAAGTCCTTGAATCTGGAGACGGAAGAGACACATCACTGAACTTGGCTGCAACGGCAGGTTCCTGCATGCTGGCTGAAGTTCAGAGTTACATTTAAGAAGCAGAGTGTAGGCTTAGAAAGATTAAAAAGTGTAGGGAGGGGCTGACAGCAGCTAGGGCTGTCATTCTAAAAAGAAATCCATTTGCAATTCAAAATAATGACAAGAAAAAAATCTAAATCACGCCTATATGATTTCCTGGCACTGACATATATATCAGACTTTTGAGCAGAAAGTTTTTTTTTGCTCCTAAGTCTAGAATTAGGATGGTTAAGAGAAGAAGGTCTTTTCCTTTTAGAGAACGGTTCTTTGTATAGAAAAAAAACTTTCAAACATTTAATGGGGCCTTTCCTCAACTCCAGCAGTAGCCCTGCCTTTACTAGCACTGTTCTGTTACTGAGCAATGTGAGACCCACTGCGACAGGGATGGAGGCTCACACTTGGGTCTTCACGATGTCTGAGTGGATTTTAGCCACGCCGTTCACAGCGTGGGAGCCCACAATGCAGAGATGGGCCATGTTGATCCTTTTGCCTCCTTCCTCTTCTATCAGAGACATCCTTCTCAGACGGTCGACATCTTTAGGAAACAAGGCAGCAATTTTCTAGGCAAAGGAAGAGATAGGCCTTACTGATCACTCAAGTTTCTGACAACCCTGGGGTAACATCATTCACTTCCCAACCAAAACCTTCCATGGAGTAAACATAAAACTTCACTCCCACAGAGAGGCACTGAGTTATTAACCCTGGGGAAATGCCATCCCTCCACTTCACAATATTTTCAAAAAGGTGTTGTTAACAGAGCCCCACCCAGACTTGAATGCTTTTGATGTATCAATGACCAAAAGATGTTTGGGCCTCAAGCTTGGTAAGAGGGAAGACTGCAGCTACCCTTAACATATCTAGACCTCCTTCTCCAAAGGGTTATGAATCTGTCAAAGTGACTTACATCTAAGTGCTTCTGATTGATCTCGTAAATGATTTGCAAATGTCGAGGAAGCAACTTCTCCACCAGTGCTACAGGCCATCGCTCCAGGGCTTCTGGGAGCACCGTGTGGTTGGTGTAGGCGAAGGTCTTCTGGGTGATCTCCCATGCCTGGGGGACAGGGGGTTGGGGTTAAGGGGGAAGGGTTGTGTGTGTCAGCTGCTTCCCTCTGCAAAGAGGCTGCCTGTAGGTGCACCCCATCCCTCAGGCCAAACATTTCCTCAACTCTGGCCTGTCTGCAACAGGACAATTCTATGTGCACGTATACTATTCGTAGGTTCCTGAATGGTATAGGTAGTGGGAACATGTTTTCTTGGGGGTGGGGAAAAAAAAAAGCAGCAAAACTGTCCAATAAAACTTAAGACAGCATACTGATAAATCTTCTCTATAATCCTAACTTGTCTTTTGTTTATTAAATAAACAAAATTTGAGGAATAAATCTTTTTAAGTAATGTTCTGAGAAAGTACAAAGTATGATTAAATTCAATGGGGACACTTTCAATTAGCTCTAATCTGAGGCTAGAGAGTATAATTTAGAATTCTTTTAGACACAGAAATGGGAAACACAATATAAGCCTTGACATAGCTACTGAGCTGTGTCCCATTAGAAAGGTGTCTATTTCTTAGTCTTACTCACTCCAAGAACTGAGAAATGTCAGCACCAGTGCAAAGTTCACCTTTCATTGTTGTAAGTTATCAACAGTTACTTATTTTAAAAAACTGTAAAAACGAGCTTTTGGCAAAATCTCTCAATCACAGATATTCTGGTCACTCAAAAGAAAAAGAAGCCAAACTCTCCAGACCTTGGACCAGGGCAGTTTTTCAATGTCCACAAAAATCCTCATCAGCTCAGGGATGGCAAGTGCAGGGTGGGTGTCATTCAGCTGGATGGCAACCTACACGGGGAAAGGAGAGCAACATGAAGGTGGCCAGTGGCCCGTCTCTGGCTTCCCTGTCCTTTTCCATAGCTTACACATGCACCAAATAAGACACCTACCTTTCATGGAACGCTTTAAGTGCACTGTAGCTATGCGACTTTTTTAAAAATTGAAGTTGATTTAAAATACTGTGTCAGTTTCAAGTGTACAGCATAGTGATTCAGTTATATGTATATATGTATACACATTTGTGTGTGTGTGTGTGTATTCAGATTATTTTCCTTTATAGGTTCTTACAAGCTATCAAGTAATATCCCCATGCTATACAGTAAATCCTTGTAGCTTATCCGTTTTAATGTGTGTTTTATGTATAGTAGTATGTATCTGTTAATCCCATAGTCCTAGTTTGTCTCCCCCCACCCATTTTGGTAACCACAAGTTTGTTTTCTATGGTTTTTAGAAAACCATAGTTTCTATGTTTTAAAGAACATAGTCTCTATGTTCTTCTGTTTTATATACAGATGCTCAGAGTTTTTAGCACTGAGACAGCTGATGAGTAAGTCAGATGGAAGTCCTGATCCTGTCAGTGGTTCCCACCTGCATTCAGACTGAGTACTTGCCTGATCGGGGAAGGCATCAAACGCAGTTTCGGCACTTTTGCTGGAGTCAAACTTGGAGGCTTTGAAACGTCGGATGACATCTTGCAAGGTAGCAGCCACCACAAAATACTCCTGCTTCAATCTTAGCTCCTTCCCTTCAAAAAACTTCAAGCCAGAGAGATTGAGTGAGAGGGTTCACACTAGGAATGGCCAAAACATGACTGGTGTCGCCTGCCCAGGGGACCATAACATCTATGGGATGTCTGGTGGAAGACGGCAGGTTGAAGGCCAAGCATTGGCCTCCTGGAGCTCCATGAAGATGACAGTAAAGGATTTTAGAAAGGCATACTGATAAAGGATGAAGGGAATGGAGAGAAGACAGCAGCAACAAATTTTTAGAAGCTGACAAACAGATGGATAAATGGTAATTGAACCAGAAGATGCAGGAAAGCTGACTCTTGACCTAGTGGGGAAAAGCCAAAGGAACAGCCAAGTGTACACATCGAAGCTCCCAAAAGGCCCAGGAACTGTCAGCATTGTGTGCCTTTAGACATAAGGATGAAGAGGGGGTAAAAAGTTAGTTGAGAGTCTAAGAAGCAGTTGGCCTCAGACCTCATCTCCATTTCCCTCAAGTGAACAATCTCCTTTGCCAACTCAGGCAAAGGTGGAGATCTATTCCCAGGAGATGGTTAAGCAGGTGCAGGTGGAGGCAGGGGTACCATCCCAAACTAAAACGGGGGAAGAGGGTTCAGTGAGAGTGTGTGTACTGAACACTGATACTTTCAGCCTTCTTCTCCCAACCAAATTTGAGAACACCGGCAGTTAGTGTTAATTCCATTGAGGAAAAAAGCTGCAAGCATCTTCTCCAGGGAATTTGGCCTGCCCAGAAGAGAGAAACTAAAGACATGGATATGCAGAGCTCCACCAGGAAATGGCCCCAACAGGTCACAGGATAGTGAAGCCAAATAGATAAATCCCAACCAGACGTACAGAGCTCCCCAAAGCTTGTCAGTACCTCTCTCTTTAATTTTAGTGGGCACTTAAGGGCCAAGAGCCATCTAAGAAAATCTTCTAAAAGATGTTGAAATAACAAAGGTTAACTTAGAAGAAACAGAGATTAGAGAAAAGAATGATTATAAGAATACGATCAATAATATCCTCAGATAGATTAGATATTGTATTCAAGAAATAAGAATAAGATGCTTTAAGAAAATATCTAGAGCAAAAAAAGACTACTCAAAAATTAAAACATGACAGCCAAAATGAAACACATAGAGAGAGTTTGTGATTGCCCATAAGGTGAGTAAGAAGACAGAGATGATAAATAAAAGACAAAAGGTAAGAAAGTTAAAGAACAAGCTGAGGATGTTTAATAATTCCAGACCACTTCTCAGAGAGCTGTAGTCCTGTGTTCCCAGACTGAAAGGGTACCCAGGAGTGAGGAGTGAAAACAGACTCACAGCAAAGCACCTCCCCCTCTAAAAAGACTTTCAGTGCATTTTAGTACACCTGGAGATAGGGCGTTTAGAGGGGGATAGACGGAGAGGAAGAAGGAGACTAGAAGCTTTCAAAGGGGAAAAAAGCAGAATACAAACAAAAGATCAAGAATTCAAATTGCACTGTATCTTTCAGCAACACCAAAAACTAGATTAAAAAAAAAAAAATCTTTGTGTCTTTGATATCCAGGCAAACTACCAATGTGAGGGCAAAATAAAGACCTCTTTCAACATGAAAGGTCTCAAAAAAATTGGCCTCACATGCACCCTTTCCCAGGAAGCCCCAAGCATTTGTATTATCCAAACAAGGGGAGCAAACAAGCAAAAAGAAAACGTGGGGTCCTGGAAACAAATGACCCCAGAGAGCGTGGAGCACAGAGGTCCTTAGAATGGTAGGAGAGTGGCTCCAAAGATGTCAGTGGAGCAGCCAACCAGGAGAGATCCAGAAGGGACTTCAGAAAGACCAAGTCAACAGAATACCGACGGTGTCTGAATATATTGAGAGGAAATTTCTACAACTGGGGTAGAGTATAGGATAGACTAGGGCAAAGTACTCAGAAAACCAAGCAACAAAACAAGCAGCAGCTCCAGGAAAAACAAAAACTTTTTACAGAAAGAAAAATACTGACATGATGACATGGACGGGCATAGATCAGCTATCTGCAGTGTTGACAGCTCATGATAATGTAAACACTAATTGAAGAGCTAGTGAAAATTACCATGTAATTATGTTGAGAGACTGTGTGCTGTGCTTAGTCGCTCAGATCCTTATTTTGGGGCATCTTTGTGGAGCAGACTACTAATTTGGTTGTTTCTGAGATTATTACTTAAAAAAAAATCATTATAGCTTCTAGAAAATTATTTTACTCATAGAGAAGTTAGAGCTAAGTACATTTAAATCCACTAAGAATTGACAGTAGTCATTTGAGATTCAGTCCCAAGTGTTTTTTTTTTTTTAACTAAGTTATTTTTAGTGTAAATTTGGGAATGAGCTGCAGTCCATGTGCTGCAGTCCATGGGGCTGCAAAGAGTCGGACATGGCAGGGTGACTGAACAACAGCAACAGGAATGATCACCTTTAAGAAAAAGTTTAACAAGATAGACCACTGGCATAAGAAACAAGTGTCTGCTCCTGGGTCTGTTCTGAGGTCCATGACGCCCACCCCTCCTGGGGGCAAAGGGGCATAGGAGACCCATGAATGGGGGGAAGAGGACAGGCAGGACCCCTCCAGGGACTTCTGATGCTGAGGATGAAACTCCTGTTTGGAAAGGAAGAAGTGCTTCATCCCAGCTGCACCTCATCTTTTATATCCAGGTTTTGTTTTGAAATACATGGACAGAGCCTCCCAAATAGGGATGGGTGAAACACCAGTTCTGATTTCATGAACTGTACAAATTTGTTTTCCTTACTGGGATAGGAGGGGAAATCTAGACAACACAGGATGAGATATGGAGATTATTCCTCATTGACGGGAAAAAAAACATTATAAAGTATGTGCTTTATGGCTGCTGAATAGGCACTTGTGAAATACGCCGCTTCTGTTTCCCCTGAGAAAGCCAGCTTGACCACTCACATTATCATTGGGATAGAGGACCCGGGAGATGTTCTCGGCCAGATTCCGGTCCAGCACGGCCTGAATGTAGTCTCCAACATTAACTGAAGGAAATGTTAGAAAAATCAATACACAGACAGGCCAGCTACTCTCTTCAGAACCCCCGTGATCTCAACCTGATGCTCACTGAATACCCTGGTTGAATACCCCAACCTTTTTGGGACCAGGGACTGATTTTGTGGGAGACAATTTCTCCATGGACTTAGGGTGAGGGGGATGGTTTGGGATGATTTAAGCACATTACATTTAGTGTGGATTTTATTTCTAATCTAATGCCACTACTGATCTGACAGAAGGTACTTGTCCATGGCCCAGAGGCTGGGGGCCTTGTGCCATGTGGGGTTCCTAAAATTCCTAAAAATTCAAAAGGATTTCAGCAAAACTTCAAGCTCTGATTTACAGTCTATGAAGGTCAGACTGAAGGACTGCTTTAACCATGTTCTCCATACCTGCTCCATAAAATGCTTAGTCACTAAAGAGTTCATATCAGAAACTCAGCTCACTTTGGTTCTAATTAGTAAAGAAAAAGGTTAAAGACACATGAGCCCATGCTGTACTCACAGTCTCTGAGGTTAAAGTCATTGGGCGCCCGAGCAGACCAGAGGCGCATGGTGTTGACGGTGTTGTTCAGATACCCAGGCACTGGGGTGTCATATGGAAGAGCCAGGACCACCTGTGGGGTGAAACCAAAGCAGCTGCTCACTGTTGCCCACGTAGGAGGATGTAGGTTGCACAGAGCTGGGAGATAGCAATGGGAATTTGTTTCCTGGCTCCATCACCAACTCAGATCATATGATCCCTAAACCAAGACAAGGCTCCCAGGGCTGCAGTGTCCTTCTCTCACTGGAACAATTTGGATGACTGGAACGACCCAGACAGATGGACCTCTATATCAGTTTCATGTTGACTTCCCTTTGTGTCCTTTGCCCTGATCTGGACGTAAATCTTTCGCATTTCAGATCAAGCCATTGTTCTAAGAATGACAAAGTATGATGTGCAAAGTAGCAAATGTGAATCTGTACCCATTAAGAATAGTAATCAGGATAAGTTTCATGTTGGTTATTCAATGATCTGATTTCAAATATGGTGAAAAATCAATGGAATAGGAAATGTACAAAGATAAACATGACATATGATGTTTAAAATGCTATGCTATATTTTTCACAAATGCATGAAGAAGAGTTATTTTAGTGATCTAACAAATCAGATGATAATAAGCTGAGATGGGTCTAAGAGGTGAGCTTTGGAAAATTTAGCTCAATATTTGTGATGGTCATGGAAATAGAGAACAGGAAGATGAACTGTGTTTTACATGACTTTAAAATTTTTGTGAGAAAAGATACTTCTATTCCCTGCCTCATCAGAGTCAGTCTCTAAGGAAGGGGAATGACAGATTGGTTGAATTGGTGGACGCTAGAGATCGTTTAGTGCTACTTACTCATTTCGGATATGAGGGGAATGAGGCTGAGAAGTGACCTACCCAAGGTCACAGACAAGTGGTAGTGTTGAAACCTAACCACAGATCTCTTTAATTTGGTCTGCTGACTTATAAATGAATGAAGGACTCTAGCCTATATCAATGACATACATTCAGTCATGCTTTCATGATCATCATAAACATAGGGTAACAAATCACACTGACTTGAATATCTTTTACTAGGAAATTAAGATCTCTGGAGATTCTTAAAGCCAGTTGTGATCAATCAGGAAGTCATTTACAGAGTGGGACTGAGATGATTCATCTTTCTGACCCTGGAAGCATAACTGAGGCAGCTGGGGAAGCACATGGCTCGCAAGTCCCTTTAGAGAACTTCGGGGAGAAATCGCCACCTCGGAGCTGACACCAGGCTGTACCTTCTCTGGGATGCTCTCATGGTGGTGGGAGCATGAGAGCCGGGACTCCCCTCAGGAGCCTGGGTACTTGCTCAGAACTGTGGTGCAGTGTGAGGCTCTTCCTGAGAAATCCTTTTTTCCCTCTCTCTTCACAGGTGTCACACCTGTGCTGCAGTCTGAATGACCCCCCGCTTCCTGCTGTCTCCTTCCCCCTAAGCTTTCATAGCATTTCCGCAATAGTTTACTTGCACTTCTGTTCTCCCTGCCATCTGCTCCCCTGAGGACCTGAACTGACACAATAATGACACAGACAGTTCAGTTTGCTGGAAGCCCTCACAAGAGGCACATACCAGGTCTGACCTCATGCTCTCTGACCTCACCAGTTACAAATCTGGGGGCTCATCAGGCAATAGCATCAATCCATAAAGTTCTGCATGAGTAGGGTGAGCTCACTCTTTATTACATCTGCCCCATAACCTTGCCTTTGTGGGCACAGAAAAATACATTCTCCCCAGTTGAATTTCTAGATATATTATGAAACTGTCTAGATGATGTATTTTGTAAATACATCATCGGGTCATCATAAGGTTATCAGTGGGACCTACGGAGTAAACAGAATACTTCCAAGATTGAATGTGTAAACTGCATACATTTAAATGGATCAGAAGCCTCTGGAAGTTTTAGACATCAAATACTTGCTAGTTTAATACTCAAAACATGTGAGAATTCTTTGGGCATATTAGCGATTGATTTGTTGCAGTTTTCCTGATCATATTTGTAAGTAACTGTAACTCAGACTGTGGTCTACTATTAACCAAAATAGAAGTGGAAGAGATATAAGGAAACGTCTTGAAATCACCATATTAATTTATTCCTCATATCATTATATACAATGACATATTTTAGTTTCTAATCCGTTACTTCATATACTGCAAAAAAAAAAAGACTTTTAAAAAAAAGTCTTACTTTTCTGAACTGTGACTAGCTATTCATGGATTAGCAGGATAAAGCATTAGTTTAAAAGTCTGCTATAACATGGGTCTTGATTCTTCTAAGATAAAATGAAGCATTTATTTATGAAGATTAGTCCACAAACCAAGTGAATGTAGCATTACAAGACTGAATTTTGCCACTGATTTTGCTACATAACAAAGAACATTTCCCTGGTCTTTACTACTTTCTTTAAGCTTTTAAAGAATAGCCAATGAGACATTTTTTCTGGCTTAAGACTGTATTTACTAAACAAGTATCTCAAGTGAAGCCTCCTGACTGGACAATGCAGTCCAACAGTTCTTAGGGGGTTTTTTTAATCAGGAAGTATGAAGACAGCAAAGCACAGCTCCCCCACTGGAGGGGCTGAAAAATAAATTGTTCAGTAACAGGGTAACGCTCTACTCTGCGTGTGTGCATGTTAAGTTGCTTCAATTGTGTTTGATTCTTTGTGGCTCTGTGAACTGTAGCCTGCCAGGCCCCTTTGTCCATGGGATTCTCCAGGCAAGAATATTGGAGTAGGTTGCCATTTCCTCCTCCAGGGGATCTTCTTGACCAAGGGATCAAACCGGAAACCTGAGCCTCTTTTGTCTCCTGCAATTGGCATGCAGGGAATGCCGGGGCTGGGGCAGGATCTGCCTCCCCTTGTGCTAGGGGCAGGATAAATACATGTCCAGGAATTAAGTACACTTGGGTTGACACCAGCATTATTTCTCTAGCAGTGATCTGGCACATAATAACAGCATGTATTTTACAATATTTTGCGTTGTTTTTCTTGACCTTGTAATGAAGAATTTTGGTAATCCGTTGAATAAACACTTCAATTTTAAAATATTTACCCCTTAGAATTTACAAGTTAATGTACATATGGCAGTGGTGTGAGGAATGACATTTAACTTTATTTTCTCTTGGTTTCAACAATGGTATATAAAACTAGAGAGCTAAGCATGCTGGGATTATAGAATTGATTAACCTCTGATAAAGCAGATGACGAAATGACCCTGGTAGGTCATTTGACCTTAGGGAAGTCACTTCTCTCTTGACCTCAGCACCCTGGTCTCCAAAATGAGTGGGTTCCACTCAGAGAAGTAACACATTTATTTCTAAAAATACATTGGTATTCAATATACAATATACTATACTGAATACCATATACACATCATACTGTGTTGTCCTCTATACAATGCTCAGCATGAGGACTCTTGAAATACCTGGGTGTCGATCCATTTGGTCCCAGCCTCCGTGTTCTCTACTCTTCCATAGAAGTGAACAGGCAGCATGAACTCAGGGCGGGCCTTCTCCCAGGGGTTTCCATGCCTCAGCCAATCATCTGCCTCTTCTATCTGCAAAAAGGACATGGCTTATAATTTGTTTTTCAGGAGATGTGGACCTAACCCTTCAATTATATCAAATCAAAAATATTTTTGACTGGATCAACTCAGTACTGCTTCCGCAAGAAAGACGTTGGTTCTGTCAACCTCAATTCATCTTTGTTATCATCATACAGCCTAAATCAACAATACTTGGTAATATTGCTCTAAATGTTTCATATATATTATTGTGTTTAATCCTCATAGCAATCCTGTAGGAGGGAACTTACAGCTTCTCCCTTTTTAAAGGGAACTATAATTGCTCAAAGTTGCATGGAGAGTGAATGATGCAGATAAGATTTGATGGTAGGCCTGTGGGTTCATCAGTTGAAGAATTGATGCTTTTGAACCGTGGTGTTGGAGAAGACTCTTGAGAGCTCCTTGGAATTCAAGGAGATCAAACCAGTCAGACCTAAAGGAAATTAACCCTGAATATTCATTGGAAGGGCTGATGTTGAAGCTGAAACTCCAATACTTTGGCCACCTGATGCGAAGAACCGACCCACTGGAAAAGACCCTGATGCTGGGAAAGACTGAAGGCAAGAGGAGAAGGAGATGACTGACAGAGGATGAGATGGTTGGATGGCATCACTGATTTGATGGACATGAGTTCGAACAAGCTCCAGGAGTTGCTGATGGATAGGGAAGCCTGTCGTGCTGCAGTCCATGGGGTCGCAAAGAGTCGGACCCAACTGAGTGACAGAACTGAACTGTGGGTTCTAAAGCCTGTGCCTTAACATCTGGGAAGCCAACTGTCTAGCTTGAGGGAAAGAGCGGCCTCCAGTGGTGTTCACTGTTGGATACCTGGACCTGATGGGTCCTACATCATGATGTTCTGTCAAGAGCTTTGTGCCTAGAAAGCACAGCATCAGTGGAGAAAAGCTACTCGGAGAAAGCTCCCTTAGTAAAGCTTATTTCAGTATAGGTACAGAACACAATTACTATTTTTTTCCATTTTTAAAAAATGAAGTATAGTTGATTTACAATATTGTGTTAGTTCCAGGTGTTCAGCCCGTGACAGTACTTTTGCAGATTATATTCCATTATAGGTTATTACAAGATAATAGGTATAATTTCCTGTGCTATACAGTGTATCCTTGTTGCTTATCTGTTTTATACATAGTGGTTTGTTAATCCCATACCCCTGATTTGTCCCTTCCCTCTTCCTTCTCCCATTTGGTAGCCATAAATTTGTTTTCTATATCTGTGAATCTATTCTGCATATGCATTCATTTGTATTATTTTTTAGATTCCACATATAAGTGATAACATATTGTATTTGTCTTTCTCTGTGTGACCTATTTCACTAAACATAATAAGCATAATATTCTCCACATCCATCCATGATACTGCAAGTGGCAGCATTTCTTTTTTATGGCTTAGTAATATTTCATGGCATATATATACCATATCTTTATCTGTTCATCTGTTAATGGGCATTTGGGTTGCTTCCACGTCTTGACAATTGTAAACAGTGCTGCTATGAACATTGGGGTGCATGTATGTTTTTGAATTAGTGTTTTCATTTTTTCCAGATATATGTCCAAGAATGGAATTGCTGGAACATATGGTGTTCTATTATTAGTTTTTTAAGGATTGTCCATTGGGTCCCATAGTGGCTGCACCAATTTATATTCCTACCAACAGAACACCATTACATTTTGTAGTCTGTTTAATTTAATCCTCATGTAATTTTGATCTGATAATGAACTATTACTTACAGTTCATTTAGAAAATAACACATACTAACAAGGTAAGGAATTTATTTTATTGATAATTTCAATGTATCTCCATGCAGTTACATCAGTTTATAATAAAATATTTCTTATACAATTTTAAAAGTCAGAATTTGTATTTAGGGCATCCTGGACATCAAATAAATTTTGTTTTCTATAAAGAAACATAAAAATACCAAAGCAAGGACAAAACACACGGTGGGAAGGGGGTACATTTTTAAAGTTATTATTAGTGAAAACTTTAAAATATTGTATATATACTAAAAGATGGAATTGTGTTCTGGCAAGAAGGGACGGTTAAGGTTTTTTAATACAAAGTTCTCTTGTCAATGAGATTACTCCAAATATGGTTATTTTACCTATTTGCTTCCTCACCCTTCCCTCATAGAAAACTCAGCTTTAGTTTAAAGAGATATTAATTATGAATTATCACACAATGCTGGATGTTTCATGATCATCTACATATGAGTTCAGTGTCTGCCCTAGGCAGTGTGGAGAGAAGTGAACAAACACAGCTAACTTTTGAGATATTAGACAAAACATTAATGTCAACAGCCAGACAAGCTAACACATATCCATTTATTCAAACACTGATCATGACTTTATATTGGGAATGCCAGTAGGCTGCCCATTAACAGGAACTACCAGCAACATGCTGAATGAAGAGGGGACTCACAGAAACATCTTTAGATAGAAAGGCTGGAGTTAGAGAGCTGCTGGAAACAGGAGAATGTAGCAGATGGAGGAGGAAGCCTAGAGAACGCTGGACCTAGATGTGAGCTAATCAGTAAAATAGCTACTTGGTGATACAAAGTCAGGAACTATAATTCAGATCTGAGACTTCCGCTATCCCCCTCACAGAGAGAACAATAAAAAAGACAAAATTTAACAAGGAAAGGACTGAATTTTTATCAGTTGATAAAAGATTGGTAAAGTTAAAGCCCACTAGCTCATATTAATAACGAGAAACTTGATGAAAAATAAATGAGAATATCCACAAAGCATCAAACATCCTTAATTGCAGAACACTTCATGCTGCACTTAGGCAAGGGGGCAGGTTCTGGGTTTCAAATAGTGATCAATGTGAATACTGCTTTCTGTAACAGGAATGAACCTTCGGGCCTAGATGCCTCATTTTAGCATGCAGGACTGTTGTTAATAATACACCTCCAGGTTGTACGTGAACCAGGAGGACAGTGAGGCAGAAAGAGCTTTCCTCTTAAAAAATGTGAACAGGTTAAGGGGACAACATATTTTCTGCTGATAAACGCAGCAGAATTAAACTGTTCTCCCCTCAAGCAGAATGAAATGCCCATAGAAGAGAAATTGAACTCCGGGCTTCCCATCACCGGCCCCTTCCAGCCTCCCGTGCAAGTCAGAGGCCACATTTGCTCTTTTGAGGACACGCTGTTAAGTGATAAGGGATTGACTAGTCAGCCAGTCACTCTCAATGCAATCCAGTGTTGGTCTGATTTTTCCCCACCAAATAATGGCTGATTTTAATTCCACTGGGTTACTTAACACATTCTGTAGGAGAATAGAACTCCTAGCTTGCTATTCTTTATTGATTCTCTTCTCGATTTTGGCAAGGAATCTGTCAATAATTCCCTCGATTATACAAAGCTTGTTTTTAAGGTAAATTCAAGCATAGATATTTCATAAACACCAGCTGGTCTAAGCAGATCAGAGGAGAAAGAGAGAACTGCCCCCCACCCAATCCACAGAGGCTGTGGGGTGGTGATAAACCTCCTCTCTATCCTGCTTCCTTCTAACAAATTAGCCTATAAATTTAGATTTCCATGTAGCCAGTGATCCCTGAATGCCCCAGCTTGCGGAGCCATATGAAGAGCAGGGGCCAGATGGGAGGAGAGCTTTCATTTATATCCAAGTGGGCTGTTTGGATCTGAACATCCCAGATGAAAAGGAGCTGAGACAAAGTAAGCAGAAGACTTGGAGTGAGGAGCAAAGTGCCCCTCTGGGTAGGGGTGGGGAGTGTGTGGCAGTTGGATCTGGCATCTTCCTAGAGAAATTACTCAATGGACCCTATTCCAGCCAGCATCGAAGCAGAGGTCAGCTCAGGGTCTCAGTCAGTGACTGAATACCAAGAAGTGCTTTTCCTCTCAATTGAGGGCTACACAGGACTTGAAGAACCAGTGAGTAAAAATCAGGTGGTGTCAATAAAACTTTGCTGTCTGATGATATCAGTCACTGAAACACGTTTCGGGGAACACCGAGAACTCAACAGTGGCCGCAGGAAGCTTGCTGGGTAATGTGAGTTGTGCATGGCTAGTCAGAGCAGGCTGGGCACAGGCTCCAAGAGACAGAAGGTTCCAGCAGACGGCTCGATTCAACTCTGAGATTTCTCCTGCCAGCATATTTTTCCACACAGAACTTTAGCATTTGACTGTTAAACTTTAATGCGAGGCTGTCGCAACTGTCTTTCCCCCTTTTCCTCCCGGTGTCCAGTCATTTTCAGAGAACTATTCCTGATAAGCTTTCTATGATCCCCAGTAGAGTTCAAGGTAGGTCAAGCATTTTAGCAATGAAATTATTTTCCTTGAGGGCAGGGTGGAGTTCACAAAGGACACTTTGTTACTCCAAGTCTTCCTTGAAGAGAGCCTTCAAAAACTGAAAGTCCATCACCCTTTAAAAATCTTCCTAGCCTGTGCAATTTTCATCAGCCTTTTCTATGGTAAGAGCAACCCTATAGCTAATGTGAGTAGGAGAGTGACCATGCGCTGAAAAAGCATGTTGCTTTCCTGAAATATATATATATATACATATATATATTTAAATGGAAACAGTTTCTTTTTTATGGTATGATGTATTTTATCTGTGCTCTTTAAAATCCCATCCCAGTGAGCAATGGCTATGGTAGATAAAATTGGGTGTCTTTCTGACTCAATTTCAAGTTATAACAAAAGAAGTGATGAAGGATAGTGAAGCTAGCTTTGGAGACTAGCCAAAGCCATCTTCTCTTTTTCCCTTAAAACACTGGAGATGTATACTTCTTGGGTTATCACAGGAGAGAAGGGATGGTTTCCTGGAATAAGGACATTTAAAGGCAGCAAATGTCAAAGGTGTGAATAACAGAGTGGCCTTTCGTAAGACTTTAGGGAAAATGCACTTGAAAGAATTTTCTTGAGATTGAGCAGCTGAATTTAAAAAGATATCTTTAAATCTGAATTTCAATTTAAAAAGAAAAGTAAAAAATAAAATCCTTAAACATTTTGGGGT